AATGTGTCTGCATTACATCTGCTCTCGTTGTTACAAGTAATCTGAACACTTTTTCTATCTATTTTCAGCCGTAATGTACCACTCATCAGTTTGGATGTTTTAAAAGTGGGCTAGTATGAGGTACTTATCCTAAGTCAAAGTCAGTTTCTCCATCCTGGGGGTGTTTTGACCACCAACTACTGTTAATAAAACACTTAATATGAACAAGCACTCATACAACCCCACTTCAAAGCATTTGTGTGCAAGAGAATTTGAAAACAACATTGAAAAAAGTCTGTAGTTTCCACTTCTTCTAGTTTCAGCAATCTACAGCTAACATCTACACAAGCATGGTGCTCCATGTTTAAGAGGGTCCCTCTGTTCCTGAGCTACACCTTGAACTACGAGAACAGACTTCTTACAGTGTCTGCATGTTGGCTCGGGTGAGTTCGAAGGCCCACTCCACAGACAGCGGGTTCAGGGTGGTCACTCTCTTACACTCTATCTGCAGGTTCAGCCTGTTGAGGAGCACAAGAAAACAGAGTCAATAACACCAAGAAGTGTGTGTGTGAGAGAGACGAAGAACAGACAGAAATACCACACTCAGACCAACCAAATGGAACAAGTATGTATTTCATGGAATACTGAATAAGTCCTTTGTAGCGTACAAAGTATTACGTACCCGTTTCTGTCGTATTTTTTGAAGGCTGGGAAGGCAGCCAGTGGATCATCAAGCTGTGACAAGAGGAGGATAAATTAGCTTCAGAGACTTTCAAAAACAAATATAGAGACAATTAAATACCACCCTCTTTTTTGAGTTTAGGACAATATGGTAAGGGATGACTATCCGTGCCTTCAGAACATATTTAATGAGTTTTGTCTTTTACATTTTTTTTTACTTTAAAACCAGAAAAAGTCAAGAATTATTGTGATATCCAAAAACGAAGACGATGTCGATGAAATGGCGTTGGTCCCTAATATTAACCGTCCACAAAGTCATCTATTCTTAGCCCTGAGAGTATACATAGTATTACATTAATACCCCTCTTCTTGTACAGATGATGAGACATTTGGCCCCTGGGCAGACATGTGAAATATGCAGTTGCATTTCCAAACAAATAAAAACATACAATACATCTGTTCAGGCTCAGTATCAGAAGATACTGAGATCGCTATATTTAGAACATTCTTACTGTTGAATGAGCCATTTAATTTCTCCTAATGACAAATGGTTGCAACAGAAGCGCTAATTGAGATTAAATATTGAAAACAAAACCCGTTTAGTATGCAGCCATACCTTTCATCTGGTTTAATGCCAAGGAGAGTTGGTTTATTTTTATTTTGCCAATGATAATCATGAAAGCATTCTAAGAAAACAGTACGTTTCAATGTCTTAAACATTTTTGTAACCTGTTTGTAACTCGGACATCCAGATATAACGCTTGACTTCAGCAGTCAGGAATGTAACGGGAGGTTCAGAGGAGTGTTAAGGCCACACTAATATACAAGTGTGTATTAAAAAGTTATAACTATTGGTTATACTAGCAAGCAATGTAGTATCCACAGTAGGAGTTCAACAGGGTTTATAAGTAAGGACTTTTGAAATGTTAAATCAGTTTACTTTGAATTGGAACAGCTTTGTTCGCTGTATTGTGTTTAATTATCAGTTAACTTATAATTGGATTTAACTTTACCTGGATTGGTGTTATTTGGATTGTTGAAAGTATTACATATGGTGGAGAACTTTTAAGACTACAGAAACTGAGCAGAATCTGAACCCACCAGAAATGTGTTTTGTAAAACAGTGAATACACCGATTGTTCTTTTAGTACACAGTTAAGATGCATCACTGTTGGCAGGAGAACTAACAAGAATAAAAGTTACTTTGGGAGAATTTGTTGCATTCCTCCTCTGTTGGCACATCAACAGTGGAAAGGGGGCGGGCGAGAGAACAGCATGCGACACAGCGTGCCCCATTTTGGGACAAAGTGACATAGAAAAAGTAATAAGCGCTGTCCCGCCTGTACAGAGCCTGTTGAGGAAGCACAGCTCGAGGGGAGTGTGTGAGCTTTGTTCCCCTCCGAGCTGCAATAAGGTTTATCTCGAGGCCACCTCCTCTGCTGAGTGTTCTACTACAAGGCCAGGATTTAATAATGCAGATTAATTATGCATTAAGAAACATATGGCACTGCGTTTGGCTTTTCCTGTGGTTTACATCGATTAGGGGTGAATTCAGAGCAAAAGGGCCTTCTTATCTTTCGCTGTCATTACGTGGAACCGTGTCTGTTGCTGAAACTCAACAAAACATGATAAAAATCACAACTCACAACGCAAGCTTTAAGTGTGGTGCTCGATGAAATCTGTGTGTTGGAAAATCAAAAAATCAGTGCCACATGGTGGACGCTTTTATGCGAAGCAGTTAGCTGAAAAAGTGCAGCACGCAAAGCCATTAGTGAGTCAGTGAGCAGCTCAACCTCTGTTTTTGAACTAGATGACCCCGAAGGTTTCCTAAAAGCCCTCCTCCTTGTGTTCCACTCCCGAGGCAACAATCGCTGGTTAATCTGCATCCACACTTACCTTATTGGCTGCTTCCACCTTGGCACACACGGCATCCATAGCTGCCCTCTCTTCTTGGCGCCGGGCTTTCTTCTCCTTTGCTCTGTTGGACTTTCTCTGGAATCAGAAATAAGGAAAAGGGTATAAATTGTTTTGAAGTGGTAGGCAGACATGTAGAAGAGAAAAGCACCGACAGAGGAACGTTAGATAATATGGAAGAGAGGAGGATTGAAAGGAGACACATGGAATAATTGAAATTGTGGGGGGAAAGGACAAACAAATATACAAAAAAAAGATGAATGAAATTCTTTTTTTTTGCATTTTTCTTCTGCATCTCCTATGATCAGATGTTATGTTATATTCAGTCTTTCCTTGTGTGCAAACCTCATTTGCAGCAGTATTTTATAGCACTTATATAGGACTCTAGTTTGAAATGTATAACTGTTATATTGATCCTCCTGTCTATAAAAACAGCATTATTCAGCCACATTGGTATCAGTAGCTTGTATGAACAGTGTTGTCAAAGCGGTGTGAAACAGAGTGTAAATATTGCTGAGGTTGCATATTCCAGTGTGTATGTGGATGATAGTATTGGAGAAATTCTCTGATACTTTAATTAAGCGTCTCTTCTTGGCTTGATGTCCAGTGCTAGAATCAGCAATGGTGCAGCCATAATTCACACACATTACTGCATCCATGCCTGGCAACTGAGAACACACGCTTTGAAAGCTGCTATAAACATGTCTCCACCAGGTGCACCACCATAAATACTGATTATTAGCCTTCTTCAGTTATTGACACATGCTTTTTATAGAGAAAAGGCACACTAACAACATAAGTTTTACTAGACATTAGGGATGCAACTGACAATCATTTTCATTGTCAATAGTCTGCAATTCATTGATTTGTTGTTTGGCCTTTAAAAGTCAATAAATGGTGATCATTGTTTCCCAAAGCCAAGAACTATGCTTTCAAATCCAAGACAGATATTCATATTTTAAACGCTGAAATCTGTAATAAACTTGTTTCCCCTTCAATAATTACACAGTATTATATGTTAAAATGGATTTGGGAAACATCACAGTGATAATCAACATTTCAGGGACATGTTTACAGTGCAATAAAGTCTAATTGATACATCATGGACAAACAATGGCAATTGACAAACCAGTAGGAATAAATTAAAAGCCTTCATTAGATGCAGACTTGAACAGAAAAGGTTACAATTATGGAAAGGAATGCACTGAATGGCCAACTCTAGCTCACAGCATAACTCTGTCTCTGTACCAAGCACAGACAGGCTGCAGACTGATGAAACACGTGGATTGGTTTATCTGGAGAGAAAGTGGAGGATAAACTCAGGAGACTAGCTCAAGTTAATACAACTAACTCAGCTGTATGGCATGAGTGCAGGCCTCGCTGGGTCTGAGGAGTACATAATTCACACCCAACATGTCTGAATGTATTATACCCAGGTGGGCTAAAGACAGCAAACTGTGGCTTGTGTGTAAAACACATACACTCAAGCTATTAGCAGTAATAGCTAGCAAAGCCCTAGTCATTAACATGGCATTCCTAAGTGGCTAACACAGCTAGCACGCCAACAATGGCAACCCATTAGGAGAAGTTAACAGAGCATGGCTGCCAGGCCCAGGACAATGCAGTAATAACTCTGAAATGCTACATTAAGCTATGTCTAGGCTTGGGCTAATGTTAAAATGCTATCTTGAGGCAGCTAGCATGCTAACAGAGCAATATAAGCAGCCCCGCTGCCAACCAACACCTTCGGCTACACACATCCACCATGGTCTCCCTCCTTCCTTTCTCTCCTCACCATCACGCATTTACGAGCACAAAACATCCACCTTTCATTGTAGCAACTCAAATGAAGCAAAACACCGACACACTCACCCCCATTTTGCAGCTGTGTGTGCGATCCCCTGGAGAAACACACCTCTATTGTCCCCGTGGTTCACTGCTGCTGAGTTACTAGTATCGCCAGACACAGAGAAGGGGCCAGATTAATATGACAATGATAGATAGTGTGCTAACGAGGCTAGCTGGCTATTAGCACCGAGCGGCGGCTTTGGGAGAGGCGGCGGCAAAGCGCAAATTTGATTAAAACGTCAATGAAAAATTAGCTATTTTTGTTCTCTTTAAATCGGATTGGCGCCAAGAGTGCGAGGCAGAATTTATTACAGGTCCCTTCCTTGCCCTTTTCTTTCCTCTCCTCTCTGTCGCCTCCAATGGTGGTGCGTTCACGTGCTCACCACAAACTCCTACTTCTGAGTCCTTCTGATATCTATCTATATTAGTGTTTCTCAAACTTTTTCATACCAAGGACCACTTGACCAATACAAAAACACTCGCGGACCACCTAACTCCACAAATATCCAAAATCACATAGTCTTTCTAGAACAGATTAAAAATCGCCTGAAAATGGTACGAACAAGTGGCAACATGTGTAATGAAGGTGTTGCGCTGGGCTATATCATGCAATCGAAAGTGAAACGTAAGCTTGCTCCATTGCGGAGATATTCCCGCGAGAGAGCTCTAATTTATTTATATATTTCAAATGTGAAATGTTACCAATATACTCACGGATCACTAGGGGGCGCTCACGGACCACCAGTGGTCCGCGGACCACACTTTGAGAAGCACTGGCTGGATATGTATTGCTTGCAGTGGTGTGAATGAACTAAGTACATTTACTTAAGTAGAGTTTTGAGAGAAACATGTGTGTGTGCTACTTTGTACTTATACCCCACTACAATTCAAGGTTAAATAGAGTCATTTTACTCCACCACATGTATTGAATATATATTGATTTGCAGATTTTGATTAATAATAATGTAAAAATATAAACAACACTTAAAAAGGACTTTAGTTAAACCTTGAATAACATTCACAAGCTACCCTGCTTTATCTTCGACAAACACATTCATGAATAATTGAACCTTGCCAAACACCATTTAGTATAAGGAAACATTCACAACATTATAGAACAGCTTTGACAGTTTCAGATCACATCCACAGTCGAAAACATTCTTACACTGCATATATGTGCAAATGTTGTATATCTGCAAATATTGTGTATTGTTATGTCAGATACTCTATAGATATATATCTATCTATTGTTAATATGTATGTATTTACTGTTTCTTTATTTATATTTGTAATTCATGCTGCTTTAATAAGGTAAACAGATCCACAGTGTGACCCATGTGACAGTTCTCTATATTCAGCAGAACGAATCCCTGTGAGTTCATTATTATATTATTGTTGGATCATTGTTTACAATAAAACAAATTGTATTAATGTCCAAGAGGCACTTTAGTGTATGTTGGTCCAATTAAAGATAGTTGAAACTGTTTTGGCTAGTTTTTCCCATATCATGATTCCTATTTGATCAGTTAATTATAGATTTTGAATCAAAATGATTAAACTGTGAAGAAACGTGAAAGTTTAAAGGAGCCGAAAATGTCGGTAGAACCTTAAAAAATGAGTTACCATTGACTGTAGTTGAGTAAATGCTCTGATTGATTAAAAGCATCCATCTTTAAACAAATACAGCCTGAAAACTGAAGAAATATACTTTTTTAACCAAGTTAATAGATTAAGAATACTGAAATGTAGCTACAATCTCAGCCTATGACCCTTAACCTTTTTAACCTTGCATTAGATACTTTGCTTTGGTATATTATCAGCATGGCCATGCCTTTCACAAGATATACTGTATTATCTAACTCGCACACAATACTTATTTTTACTACACAGTACACACACAGGAAAAACTTGGCAGCGGTGGGATTTGAACCCACGCCTCCGAAGAGACTGGAGCCTTAATCCAGCGCCTTAGACCGCTCGGCCACGCTACCATGCAGTGAAATTTCTCTGTGCCTAATAAATCCCACCGCATTTGAACGCACCACTACTTTAGCGCGAACATGGTTTCTTAGAAAGTGACGACAGACCCTCAGAGGGACAGAGAGGGTCTTTATAAACCAGCCTGTGTTTTACATTTTAACAAGATGTTTTAATTGTAACAATAGCCCATCATAATGACACACATAAATGTAGGGAATTACACATTTTAACACAATTAGGCATACAAAAGTGATTTTAGGTACAGATTTTTAAACCACTTACAGTACACCCTGGTATTTTTATAATCACAATTGTCTTTATCATATTTTTTTAGTATAATTTATTTCAAGGGTTCTACCTTTTGTAAAACGAATGTGCCAGCTTCTTATCACTGGGCAAATGTTAAAGTTGTGAGATATGATTTGTTTAGATGTACTACTTTTGTTTAGACTATGTGTTGCATAATGGTCATATATCCTTTGTCTGCCAATACTGATTTGTGTTTTTTAAATACCATAGGTATTTTTCAGGGATGAATGACAGAGATCATGTCCTCAGATGTTGGGAATGAGATGGACTCACTATTTATGGTGGGACACCTGGTGGAGACATATTTAGAAGCTTTCAAAGTGTGTGTTCTCAGTTTCAAGGCAATGCAATCTAATGTTTGATACACTGTACATTTTCAGAAATGCATGAATAAAGCAACAATATATATGAAGAGGGTCTAGGGGCTGCTTGGACTTTTGCCCATTTGTACTATTTAATTAACGAATAAATAAACCCAGAGGGTGAATTTTACCCCCAGTAGATTCTTCTGAGATGCAGAGTATCACATTGGCCACTAGGTGGGGATGTTTAGTAGGAAATCACTTGGTTCATTAACTAAGCTCCAGACAAGACAAAAGACTGGAGAATAGTAAATAAATACTAAGCTACCTCTGTTTCCATTTTCCAACTGTAGGCCTTATTGGCTGGTGAAGCTTAAGAAGCAACCACAAAAATGTAAGGAACCATAAGTCACCCCTAAGACCCTTATTAAAGGACTTCAGAAGAGACTCAATTAAACTCATTAAGTACAGAAACACATTCAGCACATTTTTCCTGAGGGGTGGAAATTAGCCTAAATCTTAATAATAATGATCTTTAATTGGCACATTGAGTATAGTTGGAATGTTATTTACACTTTGATCAGCTGTCTGCAACACTATTGTGCAGTAGGCCTATTTCTTAGTACGTTTCTACAGTTTGTGGTTTACTGTAATAAGGTCAGATGAAAACAAGAAGGCTGAGCAGGATTACAATCTGTTCAAAGACCATCAGAGTGAAATTGTATTACTTCTGCAACCAACAAGCATCAAGTATTCTCTCAAATTAATTATCTTAGTTTTTATAAGGAAACAAAATGCTAAATGACTCGTCCATTAGTTTCCATTTTCACGTATGTATTTCAAACTGGCTCCTTAGTGTATTTGTTTACTGTGTTTCTCTCTGTACGATTATGGGTTTCTTAACAATAGCTCTTCAATAAAGTTGCTTTTAATTTTAGGAAGTAAAGGGGAAATTGGTTGTTGTTGTTGTTATTCCTCTTTCGTAAAACAACCCAAAAAAGGGTTAAATATTTCTCAGATTATGACTGTGTGTTCTTGGTGTGGTGGGATATGAGATGGCCACCCTCAAAAGCCTACCCACTTTTTCCATAATGCAAATAAAGGGGTACGCACACACACGCACGCACGCACGCACGCACGCACACACACACACACACACACACACACACACACACACACACACACACACACACACACACACACACACACACACACACACACACACACAGCTCACAGATGGCAGTGTCTAAGCCCCGCCTACAGTCTTTTGTCTTCATGGAATCTGTCTCTCTGCTGTCGGCAAACAAACTGTCTTCTTCCTGACAGTAGGGGGCGCTATGAGGCTCTGAGAGTCTAGGACTGCTGCTCATTGTAGGACTCGGTGTTTGCATACAGAGGTGAATAACTGACACACAAACACACCAACTCATCCTGCAGTTTAGATTAGTCTATAAGTATTTCATACTTCTCTGTGGTGTGTGCTTGCACGGAAGACTGGATAATGAAATTCAAACTGCCCCTCTCCCATCTCCACCTAAATATATACTGGCACACACACATACGCACTCACATACACACACAAATAGATCCCTCTCTTCAGCTCAGCACAGTGTGTGTTGGATTGCAGACCAGATAGATGGATAGATGGATTGGATAGATAGATGGATAGATGGATAGTGTGAAAGGACAGGAGGGAGAATGAGGATGATGAGGATGATGAGGATGAGGAGGCCTCTCTCAAAGCAGCGAGCCCTGCAGCACAGAATTACAACACATAGACTGGACAAGCGGCCGCTCTTCTTCTGAGATGAAAGGGTTGTGCACTCTTTTCTACTCATGATGTATGTTTCATAGCGGGGGGGGGGGGGGGGGGGCTGTACTAATCTATGTCCGGATAGTGAAGCAGCACATGAGTCAAGTGACAAGTCTGCTTCAACCCTATTAAAAACCACAGTCAGCTGTTCTGGATTGACCATTTTAGCCTCATTTTATAATTTAATGTAAATGTTGGATAATCGAGAATGTCATTACGGCCCATATCCTTATTAGGGACAAAACAAATCTGTATAGACAAACAGAAATACAAGTTATAGAAACAATTGTATTCATGATTTTAGGACTGTCCCTTTAAGTATTATGTCAGCTTTGCAGACAAGATAGCTCACACGCTAACTGGCAGATTGTCATGGAATTTGCTAAGTACATTCATGCAGAATGCATAATGATATTTATACTGCAATTTATTAGTGTGAAAACATAAAGATGACACACAAGACTGGCATTAGATCTCTCCAAACCAAAGGGTAATACTGCGGAAAAGGTAGAGAATAATTAAAGTAGAACACTGAAAAAGAAATGACACATTGACTTTAATTAAATGTATCATATTAGGTTAGTTGGAAGCAATAATATTAAGTTGAAACTACTATTTATTTATGTTTAAATTAATATTATTGCTTTCAACTAAGCTTGCATTATGTGTAATCTGTTGACATAATACAAAGTGAACGTTTAAATGTTTTCAGTGTATATTAAAGATGATTTGTAGGCCTTGAGATAAGAGGAGTTTCTAATCTGTTCCACACTGTGTTTTACATCCTTATATAAATTCATTTTGACTCAACATATGATCTGTTATGTCATAAATGCTTGTGTCAGACTATAATGAGTCATTGAGTGTGTCATAGTGCAGCAGCAGTGGCTGTGATTTGGCAGTCAGTGCATGGAAATCATGTAATAATGAGTCTGCAATGACATTGTGCATCATCCACTGTGCAGGTGAGTATTAAACATTTAGACATGGTGGTGGTCCTACTGTGAGACGGCAGCAGGAAGATTCTATCACATCCGATTCTACATCTCCTGAGATAACAGAGAAAGTCAGAGGATGGGAGTCAGGGGGAGGTGTAAGGGAAGGAGGGAGAGAACTGTGTGGACATGTGGAGAGAAATAGGGAAGACAGAAAAAAGTAAGAAGAGGATGGATAGACAGGCAAGAAGAAGGAATGAGACAGGTGGAGCGAGGAAGGAGGTGGTGAGAAGGGGGGGGAAATAAGTGGAAACAAGAGTGAGCTTAAGGGAGAGTGGGAGGGACGATCGAAGAGAAACCGAGCGAGGAGAGGAGGGAAAGGGACACAGAGTGACGAATGGAGAAGGAGGACAGAGGAGGAGGTGAGGGGAGGACAGAGAGGAGGAGAGGAGGGGGGTGGAGGGAGGTAGGGAGGGGGAGGGGGATAGAAGGAGAGCAGTTGTTAATTAGAGAGGATGTGTTAGGGACGGGAGGACTGAGGGAGAGGAGAGACTGTGAGGGTGAGTTTCATGGACACTGCTAATGAGAGGAAAGGAAGGAAGGAGGCGAGAGGAATGGAGAGGAGAGGAGGGGAGGAGGAGAGGAGGAGAGGAGGTGGTAGGGGTGAAAATGAGACTAGAAGAGGAAGGGGGAGTAAGAGGAGAGAAGAGGGGGGGCCTGGAGGTGAGCGGAGGGAAACTGCTTTACCACTGTTGGGTGAGGATGGGGGAGGGGAAGGATCTGCACGTACGCACACACACACACACACACACACACACTGTGGAAATCTAAAGCGACACGAGAGGAAGACTCCAAGAGAGGGAGGCAGGAAGGAGGAAGAGGAGGAGGAGGAGGGGTGAGGAAGGAGAGGAAGAGGAGGGAGGGAGGGAACGAGAGGAGTCATCAATGTGGAGAGTAAAGTATAAGGGAAAGCAGACGAGGGAGGGGGAAGAAAGCACAGGAGTTAAATGGAAGGGGAGAAAGCAGGGAGGCAAGGGGAGAGGAAGAGAAGAGGAAGAGGGGCATGAGAGGGAGAGAGGTGAGAGAGAGGAAACACGAGAAGGAGGAGGAGGAGGAGGAGGAGGAGGAGGAGGAGGAGGAGGAGGGCAGATATTCAGGGAGGAAGAGGAGAGGAAGTATTGAAGAAGGAGATGACAGAGGGAAATGAATAAGTAAGTAAAGGGAGAAGAAGAAGACAGATAGAGGAGGTGCAGAAAGGAGCAGGGACAGGGGGGGCAAACAAAGAGAAGAGGGAGATGTGGAGGAGGAGGAGGTGGTGATGCCAAAGAGAGAGCAAAGAGAAAGCATGGAGTAGTGTGTAACAGGCTGTTACATGTCAGCAGCAGGATGTGTGTGTGTGTGTGTGTGTGTGTGTGTGTGTGTGTGTGTTTGATTGGCAGCATCAGGTGTGAAAGATCCTGCACAGATATCAGTAAAACAATCCCTATTTCACTCACACACACACATCCACCTGTGCACGTACACACACGTACGGGAAGCACTATGAAGAACTATTTTGAATTGTTCGACATTTTCAATATAAATAAATAATTTGTGTATTAAGGTGTATTCATCTGAGTAATAGTCAGGACTCTGTCTCTCACATACTTAAACACACAAGGTTCAATCGTGCCCCGGTCTCCTGCCCCTTTTCTCTCCACCATGCATACATCAGTACAAGTCTGGACAGCCTGCCTCAGCACACGGATGCACAGCTGACGAATCCCTCCGCCGACACACTGGCAAGTAGTCCTTAATTTATGGGATTTTGAAAGATTGCAGATTAAGAATCGTTCAAAAACTACTTCTGATGATTTATAACGCATTATAAAATGTGTTCTACAATTAAAACTGTGCATCATTATCATATAAACGGGTTGGACTGTATGCCGTTTTAAAGGATATTTGTTATCAGCACGACATGTTGGTTAATATTGCGTGTCAATTTACACATGTATGGCAACACAATCTAAAATTGAGAATAGGCTACATTTAATAGTTTTTGAGGACTACTTTTTGTCAATCCAAACGGCTGGTTGTGGTTGGGAGAGGCGAACGCATCAAGGCGGATGTCCACCTTACTTTTCCCCGGGTGTTGTCCGTCTCCCCGACGCACACTCACGGCTGCTTCCATCTATCCATGCAGTTCACTTCATTGTACTGGCTCCGCTCATCAATTAGGCGAAAATTAAGCCTTTTTAGATGCGATAATTGTCTTTAAGCGCGTCGAAGAGGAATATAAACTGTGAACAGAGGCGCAGATAAGTTTTGAGTGCGAGGAGAGCGGAGAGAAACGAAACACAGGTAGGAGAGCGACTGCTATCTCGACTTCCAACTATTATCGTTACTAATGTAACGCGAGGGTACTAGCCGCAAGCTAACCGGCTAACGTTAGCATCCCGACGACCAACTAGACTTCAGGTTGCACTTTAGAGAGAGAGGGAGGCAAATATCGCCTGGTTTTTATTGTTTGACCTCCAAAAATTACTCGGGACCGTTCAAACTACTAAACGTCCCGAAAGAGACCGACAACTCGAGTTATAATAATACGGAGAGCGAGTTTTCACTCCAGCAGACAGTAGCGTCAGGAGTAGTAACAGCAACGTAAGCGTGCGGAAAACAAAAGGACTTCACATGACTGCTCTGTTAAGATGGGGAAATGTCTTCAGCTAGCACACCTGGTTCCATTAGAGCACCAGGTGCTAACCCACCACCTCATATGTTTGGTTTAGTAACACATTAACTAATTTATAGTTAACCAACATGTATAATTAATAAAGGAGTCCCCATACTATTATGTTGGTGTTACCTACTTTAAAACAAATAACAACACTAGATGACGTACTAATTATATCTACGAACATATTAATTGTCACGTTAGAAGCGCCAAGATTGTCAATACGAGTCCAAAATGATACATCAATAAGATAGTTAAACTAAACATTTACACATTTATGATGTATAGAAAAAACACTTGTTTTTTAATTTACTAAGTATAAGCAGGTGGTTGAGCAATAATTGACTACACCCTGTCTGGTGGGGTTGACTGTTATGTATTATAGATGTATATCTCATAACAGTTGTCAGAGGTCGAGGCTATAGTAGCAGTGTTCGAGGCTACCACCAGCCGCCCCCCCCCCCGAAAGTAACTATTTGAAAGTGAACAGAGGCGGGATTATAGCTTCCTCTTCGAACCCTCTGTTGATTTAGTTTAATCGATGCGTCAAATTTAAATCCATCGAGTTAGATGTAAATAAACAGGGCTATGTTTATGTTTGATGCCGTGAGCTTGCAGTGAAGTTAAGGGGACAGCTGTTGTAGTGTCGGGGGGCCACCGGCAGCCGCGACAGACAAAGACTCCCAGAGAGCCTCAGACACTTGTATTGTCTAGCGGAGTTTCCTAGATGTGAATGAATCTCCCCCTCACCCTCTGCAGAGGAGCCATAACTACTCATGTTTTATCTGGAGAATGGGGGAATAAGTTCATGATGTCGCCCATATGGCATGCCCATGCTTTGTTCTAGTTGAAGTTAGGTAAACAGGAGTTGCTGATGGGATAGAGGACAGCAAGCATAAGACTCGTTATGCTGCGATCTGTGAGTGATAACGCTCATTGTTTTGTAACCGCACTGTGTTGTGTACCAGGCGGGAGGGAGTTTAGTTGGGTTACTTTCTGTCTCCCGAGTTGACCGTCTAGTCTTTGTGCTGCTTTCTATCTATCACTGCCCGGAGATACATAGAAAAACGAGGCTTGGCCACGTAATAATATAGCACTGACTGTGGGTGACACTCAAAATAAGAGTCCCCTCCACACTGGAGGGCTCATGTTATTTATGGCTCGTTTTTTCTTTCACTTTGTTTTGCAGATGCTTCTACTTGTCTGTTGTGCTGTTTGCTCAGCATGTAGGAGGAGGAGCTCCATCAAGTAGTTGATAAATAAACAGCAAAAAGTATGTAACTATTTTGTTAATGGACTTATTGTTCAACTAATTCTTAATACAAGACATAATCGGAACATTCTGTTATAATAAGCCTCTTGTATATACATTTTCTTATGTTCTCTGCTTAGATATAGCTGAATAGGATTTTTTTTTTAAACAAGAAATGTAACCCCTCGACTATGAGAAGCTGGGACATGAGATGGACATTTCCCACTGTATTTCTGCAGTTGTATAAGAAGATAACTGTTGGATGCAACTCTACATATGAGCATCACCATGGTTTGTGATGTGTCAAAACAGTGTTTGTTAGTGCTGAAACTAACAATATTTGCAACTAACTATTTTCTCAATTAATCATTTGGTTCATCAGATGGTTACAGTAATGCACCCTACAGATCTGCCAAATCAATATCACTGGTACTTACTCGCAGACCTTGTTAAATGGATTGGATAATGGCCATACTGGACTGATTCTCATTAAATAAAGCTTCTCGGCAAGTCTGTTTTTATTTACTTGGTTACGGTGGTCTGCCTGCTCATATTTTATTGCCACACTAAACCCTAACATCCTGTTACCTTGTATAAAAATGATTCCACATGGTCAGGTATACAGACATTACATTGGTAAAAGAGAGCACTGGAATGTGAGCTCAAGTGTTTCTTAATGGTCTGGGGCACTACATGGCCCTGTGTTCTGTTAGTGGGTGGTGCAGCATCATCTTCTTAATTAACTGGAGTAATAAAGGAGGACGTGAGTTCATCAGTTTGAGTCCTGTGTTGAACAAGAACAAGGGCCTCTGGATTGTGTGTTGAGGTTCCTTGAAGGTCAATATGGTGAGAGAAGATCAGAACGAGAGCAGAAATGTAGCCAACAAACCAATGGCCCATTCATCACCTTACATCCCATATAATTAATCACACTGTAAGCTCATTTTTGATTAGTGTGACACCAAGATAAGAGCCTGATCAAAGCACAAATGTTAATTAGCCTGGAACCTCTCTGTTAATTTTTTTATTTCCAATGAGCATTACTTGAAATGTTCAGCCCTAGTTTTCAGGCAACCAAGTTCTATCTACTGATGAAAATGAGGGTTTCTGGGAGAGTTGTTGAGTGTGAATGTTCTCATACAGTAAAGTTATGTTGGGAAATAAACTCTGCTGAAGGGAAAATAATGGGATTGCTTCCAATGTAGCAACATAAGGTGCTGCTCTACGTTTCAAGAGTGATTAAGGCTTTACAGGGTTTCAAGTGAAATCCTATCGCAGCCAAATATCTGCCAAGTGATATTTTTATGGGAGATTGTATGGAAGCAAACAAGAGACAGAAGTATTTGAATTTTATCAGACACCGAATGTATAGCATTGAAAATAATTACTTTGAAAATCATGTATCTGAATTTTTGTGAAATACAAAAATTCGAATGTTCAAATTCAGATCCCAAAAATTCAAGTGAAAAAAATTCGACGTCAAATATTTCGGTGTTTAAAATTCGATGTAAAAAAATTCGGTGTGTAAAATTCGACGTCAAAAATTGCGATGCAGCATCATCCGGGCTACTCAGACAGGATAAGCAATCGAGTCTGAATGCAATCAAACCGACTTCTGGCCTATCAGAGCCAAGCGGCAAACCCCGGGACAGTGCGGTGAAGCCCAATGCTGCAAACTGTAGGCGATGGATGCAGATGGGAGCAATTCCCGTAGACCCTATGTTAAAATGTCCAACTTAACATCAGAAAATGAACATGTTTCTAGCCTGGATCCACAAAAACATATTCTGTATATAGTTAGATTCCCCCTTCATGACAACGGGACTGCTGCTCCTAGCTCCTCTCTGCTAGCTCCGTTAGCTCCGTGATGCTACAGCGGCTCAGCTCATGAGGAGAACACTACTTGAACTCGGCCGTGTTTGTTGTGTTGGTTCCTGGTGGACTATTCGTCATGCAAATATAGGATTTATCTGCGGTTGAAACAGACCGTCCATGAATGCAGTTTCTTCGGTAAGTCAACCCTGCATACTTTGTTATGTTACTGGTGTTTTTATTAAGCTAACGTTAATGAATGTTTAGAGTTGGGTTAGCATTTGAGCAATCGTAGCTCCATCTGTGCTAACGATGCTATGCGTAGCATCCAAGAGTGTAAAACATTAAGGGGATGCTACTGTATTCTTTCACACATAGTGACGCCACGAGCTACCCACAATGCAACGCGCGCCATATATATATATATATAAATATAAATACGCCATTTTCCTGGAGGTGCTAATATCCTGGAGGTGCTAATATAAACAGCTAGCTAACGTAGCCAGGCAGACCGAAGAAATCGCTGCATATCTTCGGATTACGTCTCTGGACTTGAGAGGTGTGCTCTAGGTCGTTACCAGCGTAAACTAGAGCTGTGTGGGTTGTCCGATTGCCCTTACAGACTGCCTGCAGATGTATGGAAAAACGACTCTCGAAAGTGGCCTTCGGTCGATTTTGGCAGCATCTACGTCTATCTTCTGGAAACACCAGGTGAATACCCCACTTGTCACAATAATATTATCATGCCATTACATATATGTGGTATTTTTTAGAGTTGACTATATTGATTAAGGCAATAGACTATGATATTCTGCTTGCACCTCGTGTGAAATGGCAGATACCGGAAGTAAGGTGTTGCCCTCAGCCCAAAACCCGTATGTGTGTGAAAGAATACCAAAAGGCTTCTGTGCGAGGTTGCTAAAATAAGGTCATCCTTGTACGTTGGATAGTTAGTTTGCTAGTTAGGTTACTGTATGCATTGTTAAGGTTCATTTAAATTCGCTATGCTCTACTATAGCATAAAATAGACTAGCTAACGTCAACGTATTGTTAAAGAGAGGCTTAGTGTATATTAAATCAACCTCACAATGAAATGTGTGTATCTTTAAAACATGAACACATTTGAAGATGGTCCAGAAATAACGCTCCCTTAGATATTGTAATATGGTTTGTTGAACTGGAGTTATTTATTGCAGCTAACCGCCAATCCGACGAACGACCCAAACATTGTTGTTTTTAATATTATTACCAATGCCTCTTTTAATCGTATTATCATCACACTTGAGAAACAGCCTTATCGTGGCTGTAGAACAGAACATGTAACTTAATGCCTGCATTTAAGGACGATGAATAGCGTAGTCAATGCTTTAGTGACAAGGAAATGATTTGTTATATTAGATACAGTATGACGTTATCTGTGACTTCAGTCAGAATGAAGCTTATCCATTGCATTGCATTTGTTAAATAGGTTTGTGTCTTACCCTTACGTGTGTGATACATATGAATATGGCATATGAAAACAAATTAATTTGACTGACTCATGAAAACCTCATCCAAAGTAACAGTAAAATAAAAAGGACCTACACAATAATACTCAATCAAACTGATACAGTATAAGGACTGTGATGTCCAGCAATTTCTGAAGTATAACAATAAGATTATGACCTGTTTTTAAAAGAAGATAAAACGTTGTTTGCATGTAAAGAAGTCTGTAACCCATGCATGTAACTTTACATATGTTTGTTCAAAGTGTCCTTAAGGTGATCCAGACAGGCTGGACCAGAGGAGGAGAGACAGATCTGGACTCCTAACAGCAGAGAACTTCAGCACGGATTCCAAGGTACACCTTTTTCATGCTTTACAAAGAATGCATAAAGTAATGACTCTAATACACTGATAGACATGCCATTAAACATTACTAAATACTAGATCACCTACACATCAGTGATGTTGAGTGTACTTTCTTAGCAAAAGGTTACATTTACATTTTACCAAGCAACATAACTTTTTTTGTTCAATTTTCACATTTCAATGTATTTAAGGCAAATATTATTGAACATAGTGAGAGCTGCGACCCTTTGTCTTTCAGTGAGACAACCGGACAGAGCAAGCTTCTACAGTTGCACTAAGTTTTGATAACGGTTAAATATTATTTTAATAATACATTTATTTCAATGTTGATGAATTTAGAACGGTTTATTCATAATCTGATTATCTTTGTAGTACACTGTTGGATTTAAAAAACACATTCAAATAAGAAAATCATTATATTTATGTTTTTTGATATTTCTGTTAGGAAAGGACATGCCTGAGAGACAGGACTGCTTCACCATTTTCTCTTTCTCTGAGGGTCCAGAAGAACATCAAGAGGGAAAGGAGAAGCTGATGTGATGAGATTTAAGAGCAGTACAGGACATTCACACTAGTTTTGTAGTCTAACAGGAACTTCATTTGTGTGTTGTTTTGTGTTTTACGTTGCACCTCAGAGACAGTGTGATTATTGTCAGGCCTATAAAGTTTGGCACAAAAAAAAAAGTCAGCTGATCAAATGCATTTGCCTCACTTTCTGAGCTTCACATCACTTGTGCCTTGTACCGCAGAGTTTGCAACGTCATGAATAAATGGTGCCAATCTTCAGTCGGATGTGAATGTGTAATTTAACATTTTCAGTAAGAATAACGGACAAAAGGAGTGCAAATACAATTTATTGAAATGTGAACTAAAAGTTATCAAGCATGAACCATCACCATTTTTTAAAAATAAAAACGAAATAATATACATAAGTTACACTAAATGTTAATCTGTTAATTGACAGGCTAGGCCTGTGCAGGTGGTAACAGCTATGCCCAGCATGGGCTAAGTTCTGTAGGTGCAGCTGGTGCAGGTCCTCCTCCATCAGGTCTGGTCCTCTTCCCTCAGGCCTGCAGGGTCTTTCCCTGCGAGGTGGACTCCTCGCAGGGAAAGACCCTCAGCCCTCTCCGGCCAAAGCAACAGACAGGACGTTCATAAAGCTGAGGTTTCCCCCAAAGTCTCTAATCATCCATCCTGTGAATATGAGAGGGGAAAAATAGTGTAATGGATGCTTTGGACAATAAGAAATATAAAGTTAACTGTTGAGTTGCTCAGTTTTTTAGATTGAAAGGGTTTCATAATACAAACAAAAGGAGAGGCACCGTAAAATAAAGATTGGTCTTTCAATAAATTGTGTTGATTTTGTCTTTTGAATTCTTTGTCTAAAGTCAAGTAGCTAGAACTATTACTTATAGTTTGAATGATACAGTCTGGTTATAATGTTTGGAGGAGGCATCACAGGTAAGAGCACCATTTGTTGTGTTCCATCCACAACAAATGCACACAGATTGATGTGTGTATTTATTTATCTACTATTTAGTTTTTACGTCACTACATTTATCTAACAGCTTTAACATTGTAAAGGTGTCACTTCGGACTCTGGGTAATTATGACAGCATGTCCTACTATTTTGAGAGCTTGAACAAACCAGACCTTGATCTATTAATGTAGAAAATAGTCAGCACATTAAACCATTATGAAAGTAATAATTAGTTAGCTCATTGTAACTCAGGGTAACGTTGTGATTCACTTCAATTAATGATAACTACGGAGCTTGCTAACAGCAAGGCACAAGGCTACTTCACTCATTTAGCTAGCTAATGTAAGATACAAATGCTGTCAAGCCCTCACTGCTTGTAAAATAAAGAGCACAAACTGACTACTTACCCGAGCGGCGAGCCCCGCTGTTCTCCGTCATTTTTCTCCCGGGTTGTTGTGATCACATGACTGACAAAGCCGTGCTCTGATAGGCCAGAAGTCGGTTTGATTGCATTAGGGCTCGATTGCTTATCCTGTCTGAGTAGCCCGGATGATGCTGCATCGCAATTTTGGACATCGAATTTTATACACCGAATTTTTTGACGTCGAATTTTTTTCACTTGAATTTTTGGGATCTGAATTTGAACATTCAATTTTTTTTCACTTGAATTTTTACATTTTTATTTCACATAGGTAAATTTGGAGCAAAAACATTCAGATACATGATTTTCAAAGTAATTATTTTCAATGCTATAAATTCGGTGTCTAATAAAATTCAAATACTTCTGTCTCTTGTTTGCTTCCATAAGATTGCATCACATGTAAGACAGAAATGGGTTTTGGTTGATGAACGGTGTTTTGTACGTGCCGTCATTCCATATTCAGGGTGTGTGTGTGTGTGTGTGTGTGTGTGTGTTTGTTGCAGCCATGCCCTCAGTGATGGAGCGCTCGGGGTCCGGGGTCCTGTCCAGGAGCAGAGCCAAGACCGTCACCAATGGCAACAGCCTACCACACTCTGAAGAGGAGAGCAGTGACGAAGAGCATGCTCATGGTACAACACACAGAAACACTAAACAGAATTATGATCTACTGTTTTAACCTGAATTTAATGGGGGGGGTTACTTCATATTGTTTGAAATGTTGTTGCATTAGGTATCCATAGTGAGTGTATTACCTAGTGGATGACACCCCTTTTTCAGAGAGCAGACAGGAATACTAGAGCCGATATGAAGCAATGAACTGTAGTGGATAAGGGCTGCAGCCAAACTTTAATTTATCGTCAGACAGCCCTTTCAGGCAAGACCTGAAGAGTGGAGAACATATTTTAAACAAAGCATACAATGATTTACATTTACATTTGGGTGCTGCCAGATTCCATAGAAGTACATTGCTTAGCTTTTGTGCTGGTAGTCCTGTGTGTCTTTCCAAACTGGGCGAATGGCGACCACCATCTACTTTAATTAAAACACTGATGGCTGATAAGTACTGAATACAACCCCCAACAGACATCCGAGCTATCCCTTCCATTACTGCGATTAAGTTTATTGTGTAATATGTATAACAGTTGACATTTCCATTGTGCAGATACATAAAGTCAGCTGTTGGGTTGCACTGCTGCAGAGCTTCTTCAGTGCCTGCACACTGCTCTCCTCCACCCCTTCCCACACTCTTCTATCATCTGCCCACATCCATCTTTCATTCCTCCTTCACACAATGACTGCTCATGATCTTTACATGTTCAGTTATCTCACTAGAGACATGTACTCGAGATATCTTTATAGATCAAACCGTTAAACTGGAGTAGTTGGGGAGCGATTAAAAGGCTCCCAGTTTTATGCTGTTGATGTAGGTCTGAGACTTTGCATCAAAAGCCACCATCCCTAATAAAATGTTTCCTAATTTCTTGCCTCCTTTTATGCCCCTTCTTCCTTTCCTTCCATCCAATCTGCTTTACTCTTGCCCTTCCTGTCTCCTCACCATGTACTCCAGTTTCTATCTTCCCTCACTCCTCCCTTCCTGTCCTCTCTCCCTGAGGAAACAGTAATCTGTCCTCCTCCTCCTCCTCAGCTGCTGGCCTGCCTCTCTCATAGTCTCTTTTCACTCCTCGCCTTTACCCTCTTTACCACAGCACTAATGACTTAATATCTGCCATCCGCTGTCGTTCATCCCTCTCTCTTCCCCCCTATCTGTCACTTAGTGGTAAATATGCTTTAAATCAGGGGTCGGCAACAGGTGGTCCGGATCCGGACCCAGACCTATACGGACTATAATCAATACATTAATAGGGGATTTCAATTTTGACGGGGCGATTCTATTTTAACCGCTGCCGACAGGGGGTGAAAGAGAAGAGCGAGCGATACAGGGAGAGAAACACAGAAGAAGAGACAGCGGCAGAGAGAAGCGGAGAGGAAAGTGAGTGAAGAGAATAATTAGCGATACAGGGAGAGAAGCGGAGAGGAGAGTGAACAGGCGTGTTAGCGGCACACAGGGAGAGACACATAATTACACATGGCGCTCTCCAAGAAGAGGAAAGTGGACAGTGAGAAGAACAGAGCTTTTAACCCCGAGTGGACTCATTCATGTTCATCCTGCCCACTGGGAGCACAGAACCAGTGTGTCTCATTTGTTCAGAGACCGTGGCGCTCATTAAAAGTGCCAAAACGCCACTATGAGACAAAACACAAAGTGTTTGACCAAACATTCCCTCTCAAGTCAGAACTGAGGTCACAAAAACGAAGCAGTCTCAGAGCCCAATATGATCAGTCCACCAGGATCAAAATTAAAACTAAATATCGTTCCAGCGCAGGCTAACCGAGGCTAACCGAGGCTAACCCTCATTAAAATGTTTCTGCTATCCTGGTTGAACCAAACTGATCAAAACACAAATGTTTAGAGTACATATTATTAATGGAATCAGACTGGGATCAGGGCCAAAAACGATGGTTAGGACATTCCTATTACTAATACTGTTAATGTTTTTCTTATGATAGAGTATATCTAGCTCTGCAACTTCTTAAAAAAATCTACAGGAATAATTGTCCCCATCCGCTACAATCTTCTTCTTGTGTCTCTCTCTGCAGACAGTATGATCCGAGTGGGAGGAGACTACCAGGCTCAGATACCAGAGTTCAAACCAGGTAAGCTGAAAGAGGGAAGCATGAGAGAAAGGGAGGGAGGAAATCAGGGCTGAGTAGTAAGAGACATAGAGGTGAGGAATGAAGGGAATGCTGATGATGAGAGAAATGAAGGTCAGATGACCAGTTAGTGTCCTCCATTTGCATGTGTTTGCCCTTGCTCAGTAATGGCAATTCAATGTGGATTGACAGGTTAACATAGAAGGTGGGTAAGGAAGGGTTGAACCCAATAATGCAAACGTCTTTGAAGGGGTGTGCTTTGCAGTGTTCAAACCCTTTATTTGATTTACTTATATAACATTGTAGTGATATTAACTCTAGGGAAATGTGGCTTATTATCACATCCTGATTCATTGTATGATTAGTAGTGCAGACGAGGGAGAAGCAGCAAACCAGCCTCCAGTTTAATGTCTTTTTGGAAAACACAGGTGTTGAATTCTCAAAGCGGCTGACATGCCACCGTCTTGTGCTCGTCTTTCTTCCTGACGAAGATGGAGCCTAAACAGGAGAAATCATGCAAAGCAGAGGGAGAAAGAAAGTTAATATAAGGGTTGATTAGTAGACAATCAGTAGTGTGCATCGTGTCTTTGCAACTCTTGAGTCAAGTGGACTGTGCTCATTAGTGATGTGCACCGTAGGCACCTGTTATAAGAGCCAATCCTCACCAACCACCATGAAAAAATAATCAGCTGCCAGAACCCAACCCAAACCACAAGGTTAGGACTGACACAAGCAGACAGCAGATAGAGACTTGTCTTAGTCATGTAACAAATTATCTTTCTGGTTTTTGGTCTACTATCAGTTGGTGTATATTTTAAAATCCAAACGAACCAAAGTCATTCCAGGTTGGTAAAGGCCTGTTTATAGGCAAGGTAGATTGGTAAAACCATTCTAAAATGGCAGTTTCTTCAAACCGCTGTTGGTGTTAACTTCAAAAAACAAACCTCTCCTTTAAGCATGGAGAAGAGAGGGAAAGAGATACACGTCTTTAAATGCGAAATGTGATCTACTTTTTGTAAAACCACAAAATGTCCTTGTTTGTTGTTTCTCTAACAGACAGTCCAAACCGCTTCAATGAGAAGGACCATAGGAGCATGTTGGTCTGGTGTCCCAGTGTCATGCTGTCTGATGCAATGTGTAAGCTACACACACACTCACACACTCACACACTCAGACACACACTCACCTTACCTCTTTCTCTAGTGCAAGCCTGTGACCTTCACTTTAATGGCTATTCGCTCACCAAAGAATAGCAATTACAAATCTCATTCTGTGTTTTCTCTGTCTCTTGCGCTCTTTTCTTTCAAATTCTTTGTCTTCCCCTTTCTTTCTCTCTTTCATTAATTTCATATTTTTATCTAGCAATGACACCATACTACTGTGGTTTATTTTCATTCTACCCCATCTCTTTTCCTAGCACTATATCTCCTCATGTCCTTCTTTTTCTCTATTAAACCTATGTTTCTTTCTCATCTTAATCCAGTGGACGAGTACATCCTAATGGCTAAAGAGAAACATGGATACAACATGGAGCAGGTACGTACGGCAGAGGAACATCAGCAAGTCTCTTTCTGCTCTCACTGCTTGTGTCTCTCTCTTGTTCCTGTCCCTGCTTGCCTCACCCTGTCTCGGTCTTGCCTCTCCCCTCAGGCTCTGGGTATGTTGCTATGGCACAAACACGATGTGGAGCGCTCGCTTGCGGACCTGGCCAACTTCACCCCGTTCCCCGATGAGTGGACAGTGGAGGACAAAGTTCTGTTTGAGCAGGCCTTCAGCTTCCACGGCAAGAGCTTCCACCGCATCCAGCAGATGGTGAGAGACAGAAACACACTTTATTCAGAGGTCTTTTTTTTTCTTTCAATGAATGTAAAAAATAAACACTTACTGTGTTTGTGTGCAGCTTCCAGACAAGCTGATCTCCAGCCTGGTGAAATACTACTACAGCTGGAAGAAGACCAGGACCAGGACCTCCGTCATGGACCGAGCGGCCAGGAGGCTGGTCACCAAGAGAGAGAAAGAAGACAGGTGAGACACACCATGCACTAAGCATGGAGAAAACAGAAGTTCAGAAAGTCCTCTGAGGAGTGACATTTACAAAGACACACAATGAGCATCCTGAAAAACAAGAGTCTCATGAGTATTAATCACATGCTTTGATATTATTTCTTGGCATTTTCAGTCGACATTCTCAAGCATTTTAGAAATACTTGTGATGAAACCAGACATAGTTAAAATGTCAAGAAGTGGTTTAACCGCTGGTTGTTTGACTTCATTGTCTTTCTTCTTGTAGTAACGATGAGGTTGAGGAGGCAGACCCCGGCAGTGACAGTGACTTTGAGATTGACACCAAGAAAGAGGTGAGCAATATAAAACTTAACAGAGGTTATTGACTGTGTGTCAACAATCTCTCTGTTTTTATTAGTCATGACTTGCCTGAGGCAAATCAATGCCTCCTGTCAGCAATTTCAACTTAATTTATTAAACATAAATCTAAAGCAGTATTCCTGCATTGCCTGATTCTTAACATTTGTGATTCCACAGGCAGTGAAACCAAACCCCAACAACAGCCACGCAGACAAGGCGGCCGCCAGCCGATCGGGGCCGCTGAAGAAGGAGAACCTGGGGGCTCAGTATCGCTACCACCCGCTCAGAGCCCGCCGCCGGCCCCCCAAAGGCATGTACCTGGAGCAAGAGGACATCATGTCGGTGTCCGCCTCACACAACGCCGGGGTGCTGACCATACGGCAGCTGGACACACAGCTGGTGTCGCTCAAGAGACAGGTATACACCGAGTCTGAGCAACCTGCCTTCTGTTGCATCTAATGTCATCAGTGTGTATGAATGTTTTAAAGCAACATTCAAATTCTTCATCAACAGTCGCACAGCCCTTTTTTGAAGTGAATCTTCATTGCATTTCCATGTATTTCTGTACAGTTGCAGATAAAGATTATGACACACAAATATTATACGTTTTATACTAATTGTGGAGTTTGTTCGCAAAATGAGTTTGCGTACAGAGCACGTATCTGTATTGACACGGCGGTCTAGCGGAAATGTAACTCCACCATAAATGAAATGATAATACCGAAATACCAGCAAAATCAAACATGTTCCCATTAGATTGATGACATCCTAAAACGTGAGGACACAACTTCAAAGCTTCATTTGAAAGCCTCTAAATTAATGTGTGTGAAAACAAACACTTGGTGCAGCCATTTAGCTTCATTTATTTGTGTTTTGTTTTCAAACCTCAAATAGATTTGTGTACATGTAGAGGAAGTTTTAGGGAACTCACACCTGCATGAAAAGAGGAAAATGTAACACCTCCTCCAAGGCTTTATGGTGCAACCGTATATTAATAAGCTCTTTTTTCTGTGTCAAATGATAATGAATTCAGTCTCAGTGAGGGGTCACTTTGATTTGTACTGTTAGTCTTACATTTGACAAGCCGCTCCAAACATTAGAAAATGAATTGCTCGTGACAGTAGACTATTCCTAAAGTACAACTGCATGTTTTAAAGTAGCCTTTTAGCGTTTATGAATAAACCCCGTCCCTTCTCTTTCCTCCATAGGTCCAGTCCATCAAACAGAACAACAGTTGTTTGAAACAGGGTTTAAATGAAGGTGTGGCGAATTTAAAACCGTCTGAGGTAAGTTTCTTTTTGTACAGTTTTCTTTCTACATGTCCCTCCTTTACATCCATCCATCGCCTCTTCCTTCTCTCTCATGTATTCACTCTTCCCTTCCTCGACTCCCTCCAGATATGATTTCCCCCCTGGTGGGACTGAGATTAGTCTAATCTGCCCTCTCCTCTCATGATGTCACTTTCACTCCTCTCTTGTTTTACCACCTCCCTCCCTCACTCTCTAATCTCTCCCCCTTCTCCTCTCACCCTCAGACTGCCCCAAAGATGAACTCCCGTTGGACCACAGAGGAGCAGCTCCTGGCTGTGCAGGGTGAGTAGAGGCTGCAGCACCCCCCCATACTGAGATTCAGATTCCAGCTGTACTTTAAGTGAATTAAAGGAGAAGTAAAGCAGCTACTGTTCCAAGTCAGTGTTCATTGCTTTTAGTCAATTAAAGACACAGTTGTCTCATAGAGGAGCCTTCAAAGTGGCTCATTCATTAGCAGAGGAGCTGATGAGGCATTTATTGTTGTTTGTCTCGGACACATAGCTGTGCACGCCAGGGCGTCCCTCTGCATCAATCGTGGGGAAAGTTCTGAATGATTGAATGAGATGCATTTAGTCAGAAAAACGGATTACTAGCTGAACAGCTGCAGTCAGCCAGTGTGCCTTTGAGCAAAGCGTTAAACTGCAGCTGTGCAGAGAAAGCAGAAGCCTTCAGTGACTCGTTTACATTCACATTCCAATATGGCTCATGTTAAAACCTATTTCTGTTGGGATAATCCAGATGTAGCATTTTATGATAAGATGTGGGATATGTGGTTATTATTCAGGTTTTAAGAGCTTTTGTTGGACATGTATTCAGCGCATTTGGAATATTATAATTTCTTTACGGCCGTTTGCAACACGGTCAACATTTCTGTTCAGAAGGAGGACAAAGCCTTCACTAAAACGTTATGAAAGCCTTGGACATTAACAGGTTTTTGGATGTGCGCACAAGGAGAGGTGGTTGAAGGAACAGAAGAGCGAGGCTGATTAAAGTATGCACGGCTACGTGTCATTTTGAAAATTAACTTTCATCTGCCAGGTTAAGAGCTTAGTGGGAAGATTGTCTTTCACATAAGGGCAATATTTAGTGCATGTAAACGGAGTCAATCTGTGGATATATTAAAGCAGGTGCACTCAGCCAGCCAGCATCCGATGATGGTTAACACACCTCAACAGATGCGCGCACACACACACCTCAACACACACACCTCAACACACACACACACACACACACACACACGACTGCATCCCTCATCCCTCTGCAGAGACTGTTCTGTAGTCTTTTGATGGCGAGGCGTTGGTTGTGAGCGATGTACAGACACAACATTAACCAGTCCTTCTTCCTCGTCTCCTTTCCAGCTATTCGTCGCTATGGTAAAGACTTCACAGCCATCGCCGAGGTGATCGGGACCAAGACTCCAGCTCAGGTGAGCCTCTTGCCCCCCCCCTCTTATTGTGACCCCAGCGTCACCCATCATCTATACCGCAGTTTACCGAGCTTTTCATCTCCTCTCCCATTTCTTCCTCATCCCTCTGACAGATCAGCATTTGTGTTTATAGATCACTTTGATCTCCATTATCCCTCCTTTCATTTGTCCACTGACCTTTAATCTCCTCCTCCGTGTCCTTGAACAACTTTCCTTCATTTTCTTCTCCTTCCCTCCTCAGGTGAGTTCGTTCTTCGTGAGCTACCGGCGCCGCTTCAACCTGGACGAGGTTCTGAGGGAGTGGGCGGCCGAGCAGGTGGCCACCAACCGAGAGCAGAGAGACCCCCGCAGGAGCAGCGAGGAGGGGACCCCAGCAGAGGGGGGCGCAGAGGAGGACGAGGTGAGCACTGACCGGACAGACACATGATATAAAGAACACTGTTAGTTATTTAGAGCATTCAGATAATCAAGAAGAGATGTCTCAAAATGTCAAACTATTTTGAAATTCTGAATTATTTGAATCCGAGTTGATCATCGCCTCAGTGATCATCCGGTCTAAGTTACTAAGTCATCCATATCTTTCTTATTATACCACATAATAAATCAGTCACAAGTTTAAAGTCGAAGCGTGGTGTACCAAACAATGGAAGACGGGTAATGAATACTAGAAATACCCAATGGCTGTTTAGTTCTCACTCACTTTCAATACATTACACCACCTCTGAGTCCAAGAAGGAATAAACCCTGAGGAGAACAGAGGGAGAAAAACTTGCAAGATAAAAAATGTGCGTCCATATCAGGAGCATGGACTTAATGCTGAGTCACACGTTTATCTGAGTTCAAAGTGACAGTGCTGAAGTGGATGAGATGAGAGTGTAGTGAACAGAAGGAGCAAGTGGTGTAATATGGAGTTTCCTCCTGAGATCTGAATGAGCCTCCTCTTCCTCACATCTCACTTCATCTTCTGCTCCCCCCCCCTCAGGTGAAAATGGAGGACTCTCCCTCTGACTCGGCCGGCGGCTCCTCTCCGCCCTCCTCCACCCAGACCCCCTCCTCCCTCTCCCAGCCTCCCCCCCTGCTGCGCCCCGCTCCTCCCTCGGCCCCCCCCAGCCTCCTCCGCCAGCCCCCTCCTCTGCAGACGCGCCCACTCCAGAACCGAGCGCCCCACAACCACCCCCCCCCCTCCCCTTATCCGGCCCGCGGTGACCTCCTCCTCCACCCCCCCCACCGGGAGCTCCAGCCACAGGGCCTCACCCCCCAGCTCCTCCTCGTCCTCCGCTGCAGGCCAGATGCCCCCGTCACTCGTCGGGCTCAAAGTGGAGCAGCCCAACTCGCACTGATATATATACACACACACACACACACACACACACACACACGGCCACAGGATCCATCAAACACACTCGGCCGACATCACAGCTCTTAAAAAGCAGGAAGAGTGTGTGTGTGTGTGCCCCCCCCCCCGCAGCCCCTTTACTGTACCAACAAACACCTACCTCCAGATCATCGTTCACTAGCGCATACACACACACACACACACACACTACAAACAAGCTAGGAACTGAAACCTACCTGCACACACACCTCACTAAACAAACAAAAAAGAGACACTGGATCATCGAGCTTCTGAAGGAAACCCACCTGCTCGTTTCCATGGCAACAGCTGAACATGTGGACGAGTGTGGTTGAACACAAACACGGACACACACATACATATGTAATGTATATCTATCTATACTGTAGGTTCCACTAGGCAGGTTTTAGATCCTCCGAGAACAACCTTCAGGAAATTTAAATAATGAATAAATGTTCGGTAAGAAAGTGATTGAGAGGATGTGAAGAAACACGCCTTTCCCTAACGAGCTGCGCTTTAAAACTCGGGACCCTCAGAGGAGAGGAAAAGGTACTTTGCAAAGAAACGGCTTTGTACTCAAGGCCGTGACTTTACCGTCACGGATTTCAAGGAGCAGCAGATCTCCCTCCTCTCTCTCTTACTAGTATTAACTGGAGTGATGTTTTATGTTTTTTGACTATACTTTTAAAGTGAGCTCTTGGTAGGCAGTTAGTTATTGTAAGTAGTCTAGATTATGATGATGATTATTGACTGAGCACTAAAGAGAAACAGTTGAACACGTGTGATTGGATGCTCAGTGTTAAAGCCACACTGCTTTCTGTCTGGAGGAATTGTTCCAGTAGTTAACCGCTAACTCTGGTCACTGCAGAGAAACATTAGCCTCTGAGGTAAATATGTGTAGAGGACAGGATTTTAAAGCAGGTTTACAAATGTCAAGGGGACGCCTGACCTCTCCTGACCTCTGACAGATAATCAAACCCTGAAATATAAAATGTTCTGCCAAAGTCTGCTAATGCTTTAAAAGCGTATTGCTTCCTGCATGTTCGACGCGGTAAAGGAGTGAAACGAAAGATGGTAATGAGTTCATCGGGAATTTTGGGAAACAAGCATTCACTTTTTTTTGCTGGCAATGATACTGAAAGTTTGATTCTCAAAATGCAAAACAAACGTATTTCTACGTATGCCTGTTCATGCTGCTCTCCACACAGATCTGGGCTCAGTGGAGTTTGGGTTTAAACTGCGTTTAGTGCTTCTCCACTCAGCGTTTAGTTTCCCGCGGCACTGAGCAGGATCACAGCGGCCATCACATGGATCACGTCGTTCGGCTTTAAAGTGGCTCGCCTTTTGACTTTCTTAATCGTCCCTTCCTCGAAAAACTGCTCGTGTATGAACTATGTGAGAAGTTGTTTACATTGTGGAAAATGAACTGTTTGTGCTTGAGAAATGTCTTTTTTTAGAATAAAGAAATGACCGAATAGTAAAGCTTAATGTCATCTCTTAAGAAAACAAGCATATTGAGTGAAACTGTCAGAGCCTGGTGTTCTCATCAGCTGTTTTCAGATGTCAGCTGTTGTCAAACCTCTGTGGCTCCAACAGGTTGGGCCACCTGCAGCGGCTTCACATTCCTGAGCAGGGCGAGCTCTGTGGGGCCAGTCTGAAGGCATATAACTGACTACATGGCTTCTGGACATACAATAGTTTGAAAATATTCTACCTTAGCTACAGTGACACCTGGTGGTCATTCCTTTAAATGTGGCACAAAATGACCACTTGGGGTCCTTCTCAGGTCGATTATTTTCATTTTCTCGCTCCTCGGTATCACCGGAAGTGGATTTGTCTGCGCCATCTTGAGTACCGTCCCATGGCGCTTATTTCTGCCGGAGGAGAGGAGCGATAACCGAGGAACCACCAGACCATCCTCCGATGAAATCTCAGATACTCGCCCCGCCCCCTTGCTGTGTATCGCTCACTGATTGGACGATGCAGCTCATGAACTGATCTGATGCTTCTTGACATGAGAGCAGTTTCCCAGCGGAGTGAAGAAAATACATGAAACTCCTCAGTCTATACTGTGTTTTGTTTCAATGAATGTATCATTTAGTTACAAATATGTGATGTATCTGAACAACAAAGTGGTCAAAAATCATTTTATTGGAAACATTTTCATGATCGCTTTTTTCGTTTTACATTTTAATTTATTGTCATTTCCATTCAGTCAGTCATTAAGTGGCGTGCTATTAAAATGTTAATTTGCTACATATCCACACAAACAAAGTGTGCAATCCAAAGAATGTTAATCTAACTGGGTTTTGATAGATAATATCTTTGTTCTCTCAATTATATTATTTATATTGTGCACTCAAATCAATATTAATCAAACTATTGTTCATTTTAAGAATGGCGTTTATCTTTTTTGAGAATTAGTTCTTATTTTATTTATTTGGGTCTACAATAGATGATACAAATGTTTGTGTCGATAAATGTGTGGCGGGGGTGTTTGTGAAAATAACGGGGACAGAGCTGCTGTCAGACGATCAGCTGTGCGGTGTCATCACAAACGGACGTCTCTTCGCGTGACGCTCCGGAGGAAAGGACATCCCATTGCTCTTTGTCACTGTCACTACCCGATCCGTCCCATGGATGTGAAAATTGATTTAACTTCTGTTAGATAGCTATCATACTGAATAAATATTTACTGAATGTATGCAAAAATGTATGGCATATGGCTGTCTAACAGAAGTTAAATTCATTCCTCACTTATTCTGACGATGTACTTAACCCCAAATAAAAGAACCCAATAAAAAGAGTTGTTAAATAATAGTGAACTCACGTTGTAATAACAATAACTCATCTCTCGAGTTTTCTTTTTGAGCTTTGCTAAAAGCCACTGTGTCAAGTGTCCATCTTGGGTTGCCGTCCGGAGTGGTCCAATATGGCGGACCATCTCGCACATGCGCAGTACCGATCGGGCAGGGGGACGGATCGGGTAGTGACACTCTTAAAACTAATTTCCCTGCTTCTCGTGGTTTCCTTGCGTCTCTCCATGCTTCCCTGGTGGGAGGGACTAAACGCAGGGAAACGACGCAAGTGAGAGATGCAAGGATTCCATTTAATCGACCTGAGAAGGACCCTTGCGCAAAGCATTGTGGGGATTTTAAGGACGCGAAGTCTACCCATGTGCAGCCTCGAAATTTCCCCCAAACCAAGGCCGCGACCTCGGTGGAATTCCAAGTATACTGGAGATTGGAAGTCCTTCTGCGGCACTCGATGACGTAGCATCCTTGAAATATTGGCTTGGAAGCCAGAATCCTCGAGATTGAGAAACGGCCCAGGTCTCAACGATGAACTGTTTACAATTTGGCGGTCAAAGGTTACTATGACCCATCAAAACAAATGTTTGGCCATCATTTAGGAACTTCGTCTAATTCACAAATAAAATGTTAGTGATGGCGGTGTAGAAAGACATGATGTAAACTAACATGAAGGCAGCGGACTAGTGGACTAAAAGGAGCAGCCTTCAATATTGATACTCCATGCAGGATGCCTTTTATAGCATCAGGTCTCAATAGATCTCATTTCATTTGATATACTGTTGGGTGATATAACTTACTCCTGTGATAGCATACTCAGGGTTTTAAATAATCATCTGTAAAGTATCCATACAAGTCATATTAATGTGGTGCAGTAAATACAATATTCCCCTCAGAGGAAAACAGGTGGAAGGGGGCATAAAATAGAATGGAAGTAACTTTAATTATACTTAAATGTACTTAGTTACATTTCACCCAGTAGGCAGTATGTTTAATTCCTCACACCTCATCTAGTTAAATACAACACAAAATAAAGATATATTGATTATGTAACTGTTATGTAATTTCACACAGGAACTGCTAACTGTAACGTAACATTACAAGTTTGACAAAATAAATATATACTTACGTGTATAAATATAACTGGTGCAATGTTTCTCTGAAGCTGAGGAACACTTCCTGCACAGCTGAAAGTGACCCAGTTCCCCCCCCCCCCACACACACACACACACACACACACACAGGAAACAGTGACACCCCCTCCTGCTGATGTGGAGCATCACAGCGTCTCACAGATACAAACAGGATCTAAACTAGCAGAACATATTCCTCTTGTTTATCAAGATGAAACTTAAATACAATTCATTTATTCAACGGGCTCCTGATACCAAATACTGTCTTAAATGCTACCCACCAAATAGTAACAAATAATAAGCAGCAAAGACTATTCATGGAATATTTCATCCCCAAAATGGCCCTTTTTACATGAATGTTTTGTTGCATGACTGAAGAGCTTTAGTGCACATATGGTCATTTTGTTGGTGAAGTATTCTTTTAAGCAGCAATTCCAGGTTTTTCATATTGGTTTTGTCTGGGGTTAGAGCTGAATTACCTCAAAAAGGGGGTTTACATTTGAAACTAAACGGAATATATATTCATATCATAAGCCTGTGAAAAAACCTTGATTTGTTCGGACTCTTTTGCTCAAATGGGGAAACTTTAGGACACCTTTAGTCATGTGCTCAGAACAATTAAAATGTTACCAATCATTATGTAGCGAAATATAATCTGACATGAAACAAATGTGTCTTGCTTTCGGCATAATGGATTCCAGAGGCAGACTATCATTATATCATTGTTTTTATTACTATCATTGTAATTTTTCATCATTTTGTCTTTGCACAACAAAAAAAAAACAAAATAATACATTTCTCAGGAGTTGATCACCCCTCCCAACCCCAAACCCACCACTACAGTTACAGTTTGCTCAAAACACATTTAAAATCAATGTCAATTACAGCAATGTAAAACGAAATAATGTAAAATAAAATCAACCCTGAAAGAGATAATATAACAGCAACAGCCAGAATAATAATTAGAATCCAATACCCAGCACCTTAATACAATGATCAACTTTGAAAGAAAAAAAAATCTGACGTATTAAAAACTGAAAACTAAAATAATAAAACGACTGTGTCATTGTGAGAAAGAAAGAAATAAAGTTACCAGGAGACGGGACCAGGCATTGTCCCCCTCGCCCCCCCCTTCTTGGGAGAAAGGAAGTGACGTCATCTGGTTTGAACATGTGCTGTGATACGAGAACGTTTAGCGAACAAGTCTCTCTGCTTCCATAAGGCCTTAAAAATGAACAGATGAACGGAGAAAAAAAAAAGGCCGAGCAGTAGTCGTCACCACCGCCATCTTTAAATACATCCATCTGCACTTGAGGGGGGGTTGTGTTTAATCCGATAAACTATGAGCTGTGTGTTAAAGGTGCACTACACAGAAAAAAAGGCAGCAATGATATGATCCGACGCGACCCTTCACACACCCACCCCACCCCGAGAAATCCAAATCTGTACAAACCGCCCCCCCCCCCCGAAATTTCCAACGACACAAAAATATATTATCAAATCAAAAGTAGAAGAAGAAAATAATTCACCATTCGTCGTTGTCGATTCTTTTTTCTTTTTTGTTGTCTTCCAGTGATCTTTTATAATACACACACACACACACACACACATACTGTTTGTTACATACTCCAAAAGGTGTGTGTCTGGGAGTAGCAGAAAGCGGATGTGGGGGGGTAGAAATGCGTCGGTTCAGGGTTGACATTCTGGATATGAAGGCATGATGCCAACCGAAGTGATACCAACAATTAAAAAAAAAAAAAAAAATACAAATAAATCATTCGAGCATGTATGTGCTGACAACAAGAACAAACCCTTACATTTCAATTCTACAAAGAAAGGCAACGTAAAATCAACAACCCCGTCCACGAACTGTCCGTCCCTCCCTCGTTCACCCGGATGCCCCTCTTTTCCAGTGCACAACTCTTTTTTAAAAGCCATAAAAGAAGAAGAAATTAACAAAACAAACTAAAGAAAGACTTGAAGAACAATCGATGAGAGAAATTAATGAGTGAGGAAGACAAAGGGAGTGAAGAGGCGAAAACATGGATGTGTTTGTGCCGAGTTTGAAATTAGAGGGTTGAAGAGTGAGTGTGTGTGTGTGTGTGTGTGTGTGTGTGTGTGTGTGAGGAGGATGGTTCAGGCGGATTTTTAAAGTTCATTTTTAAACAGGAGGGTGAAGAGGGTCCTTTAACCAACAACAGCATAGTCTTTCCATCCATAGTCCATTTGTGTGTGCGTGTTTGTGTGCATGTGTGAGAGGGGGGGGTTTCAGCAACCAAAGTCGGCTCAGTTGGAGTCCATTCAGAGTCGGAGGAGAATCAGAACAAATTCAAATCGAGACTCCTTTCATGAGTTTTCCAGCAAAATAAGGCTCCACACTTTCCATCAATCCTCACTTGTTAGAGATTCAGAGAGAACGTTGGCTTTTCTTGATCAGCAATTCCTCCACTCACTTTGTCCTCCATCTTAACCCCCCCTCCGATTTTTACCCGGTTGTCTTTCCTACACAAAAAGAGCTGGCAGCAGAACCGTGCAGAACAAACTGAATAAATAGCAGGAAGAAGTGACAGGAGTGGTCAAAGTGATCAAAGTGAGACGACTAAATAAACAGAGAGCAGAGCGGACATGCAGAAGAGTGGAACGTCTAAGTAGAACGTGACGAAAGAAAAGCCCAGCGGGGGAGAGAAGACCCTCGGTCTATAAGTACTTCACGACTCAGAGGACACGGACTCAGAGTTTCTAATGGCCTCGTGAACTTCTAGAAAACAACGCTTTTCTAGTCTCAGAGGAACCGATAGCCCTACTTCAGACCTTTGTCCACATAACAATCGGCTTTCTTTTTAAAGTGATCCCACCCTGTAGCTTACCTCCTTGACCTCCACTTACAGCATCCTCCTCCCTACCTCCCCCCTTCACCCCTCCCACCTCTGAACCTCTCTCCTCCGCACTCACAGTTTGAGCTCGTTGGCAATCTTTGAGGCAATGTTCTTGAAGGCGATGGAGGTGCCGGAGATGCGTTTGAAGCGCACGCCGTTGAGGGAGAGCCGCGGCAGCTTGCACACCTCCATCTCCCATTGGACGAAGTCGTCTCGCGCGGGGTTTCCCGACACGCACAGCAGCATATAGCGCTCGCGCAGCTCATACTCGCAGCTGTTGGAGTCCAGCACCTTGCGGATCTCGCGCATCATCTCCGCCGGCTCCATGGACGACGTGGTCTTCATGGACCAGGTGAAGCGCAGCGAGCGAGGCTTCACCGACTCCTTCTGGAGGCCGATGGCCGGGGGGGTGCCGGTCCCACCTGAGGGGGCAGGAGAGTGGAGATGAGGTAAGAGTAATAATCAGACAAGAGGCAAAAACTACAGATTATGTTTTTCTTTATTTTCAGTTTTGTTCTTTTCAAATTAGTATTATTACGTTGTTTTATTATTGTATTTCACTTTTTTATGAAATGGGAATGTCATCTTCTTGTTGCTGTGTCTTTGTTTGTGTTTCCTGCTTGTTCTCATTAAGTAATAATAAATAAAGATTTAGATGATGCGAGATGGTTGCATGACAAGAAAGAAGGGATGATACAAATAATGGGTAAAAGAGGCAAAGTGAAAAGAGGAAACAGAACTAAGAGGACGTGAAAAGAAAACAAGTGCAATGCTAAAATGTTAGCATAGCACTGAGTGAACAGAACTCCATTCAGAAAACAAGCATTTTCAAAGTGTCATGCTTGTTCTCTTGCGGACTAACCTGACTAAGCATTAATGTAGACTTTCAACACATCTGCATTATAATGGAGTTATTTCGGCATAATATTTATACACTTTGCAAAATCTGTTTATCTTGGGTTTAAATGCTGCAGTAAAGCACATTAATTCAGCCCAACGAAGCAACGTGATAAAAGGTCCTTTTAAGGTGTTATAATTGGAAAACTTTAGGACATAATCATTGAAAGAATGCTACCAAAATACCACTGTGTTGGTTCTACTATTGCCATCATTAGAGCAGAGTTCCTAAAGCAAACCTACCGGTGTTACCAGACCCTGGGGAGGAGTTGTTCTCATCGTTGTTGGAAGAGGAGAGGACCCCGCCGGACGTCTTCTCCGACTTGTCCACTGTGCTGCTCAGCATAGACCTGGGTGAGGGGTGGGAGAGAGGAAGAAGAAGAGAGGTGGAGGAAGACAAGAGGAGAAGAGGGAAGACAAAGAGAAGGGAGGGTCAGGAAGAAAGGAGCAAAGAGAGAAAACAAGTGAGAATCGAGAGAAATATTTAAAAAGTAGAGACAAAAATGGGAGGGGAGGAGGAGGAGGGAGAAATGATTGAGAGGAAGATGATGAGGTTGCGGAAATGAAAACAAAAGCAACATGTCTTTGAGTTCCCCTGTGTGTGTTTGTGTGCGTGCATCATCTCTAGAAATATGGATTAACACCTGAAATTTAAATCTGCTCGCACACAAACACACATGTGGGTCCTTTAAATGTGATTTCCCCGCACACACACATGCAGGTCCACACCGGCACACACTCTCAGGGATGCTACCATTCACCGCTAATCTCCCGTCCCCTGATTGGTCAAGCCATTATCACCACCACCAACCAATTTAATCCCAGTTTGCAACCCCCCCCCCATTCACAACAAGCTCAGAGATCATCTACTGATAGGCTCCAGTCTACTGATTGGCAGGCGGGTTTGGTAGAGTCTGGGGGGTTTGTAGGGGGTTTTCGGGCTGCTCTGTTTCTCACCTGCTCCCCTCATCCCGACCCTCTCCCTCATACGGACTCCTCGAGAAAAATCAACAAAAGTTTAGTCTTTTTCAGGGCTAAGGGCAACATCTGGACTCTTACACAAATAGTCAGTCAGTCGCTGCTCGCCATGCCAGACTGAACGTTCCAACTCAAACACATGGAGCACCAAAATATCTAGTTTCCACTCCAACTGTTCAGATTTAATTCAACTGCACGGCACGCAGATCCCAGTGCCAGTCCACTCTGCCCTCAAGAGGAGGAGGGTCTTCATGGGTTGGGTTGCACCAGCCATCTAACGTTTATGTGTTACGTCTGTCCCAAGTTATTAATCATTTCAAAAGTGTAAATATTGCTGTGTATGATGCAGTGTTGTAATGTTGATGGACTTATATTCATTTTGAGTTGCATTATTGTTGTGTATTGTAGCGTGTGTTTTGTCCTATATGCCAGTTGCAAAGACACATTTAATGCAAATCTAATGAACAAAAGTTGTCTAAATATAACTGCCAATTGTTTGGGAAAATGTGGGCAAGGAAATGAGAAGAAGCTGGTGCAACCAGGTGGGTGACGGAATAGAATGGTGTGAATAGAAATTCAACTGAATGAAACGTTTGAAAAAATGTCAAAGTTTGTGCATGTTGGATCAGAGTGGAAAGGCAAGGAATGGAATGGGTTCCAACTGAATGGAATGCTCGTACCAAAATGTAACATTGTACAATTTGGTACAGAATGGAATGGTTCCAAAAAATGGAATGTTGGTAAAACAATCTAACATGGAACAATTTGACACGGAATGGAACCAGCAGAATGGAATGTTGGTAACACAATGTTATGGAGAAATTTGGAACAAAATGGAACATCACAATGTAACATGGAGCGATGTGGAACGGAATGGAATGGTTTGGAACAGAACAGTCGGCACGGTGAGGGCGAGTCGTTAGAACTAAAAGGAGGTTAGGAGCATTGTTGATCCCAGCACTGCATTAAAATCTGTGTTAGTAACATTTGACCTACACATAGGCGGTTTAAAAATCCTATATTATAACACATATGTAACACACACGCACAAGGTCTCTCTCATACCATCAGACTGAAAACACACGAGACAAACTCAACAGAGAAAAGCAGACGACAACGAAAGACAGCTAAACACGTGCAGACAATGGAAGGAAAGTGACCCGAACATGACAAATTCAACAGCTTTTCGTCTTAAATTCATTCTGTAGTGGGAAAAGACATCATTCCTCTTTTGCCCCATTAAAATAAAACATGTAAAATACCTGCTGCAACAGAAACATGGTTAAATCATATTAAACATGGGAAATGACAAGTGGGAGGAGTGGAGAAATGTTACACAAGGGTTTTTCTTAAATAATATAATTGGTGAATAATGTAAAAGTAGGTCATTTGTGCCATTTTGCACGCTCTGTATGATTTAGCTAGATATGATGGGATGCAAAACAGCTCACAGGGGAAGGCTCTTTGACATAAAAGGAAGAAATTATAAAGTCTTAATCTCTTGCTTAAGTTATTGAGCACCCCAAAATACAAAGCAATGTAAATACATTTATTTCGAAATGTCATTTTACGGCAGATTCATTATTTATTACTCTCATATTTCAAATGTATAGATTTATGAGAAGCCTTTACAAGGACGAAGGTAAGATAGTGTATCACTACTCTGATAATAATAAAATAGTACAACTTCTAACCACCAGGTGGAGCAATGGTCCATATTAGAGGAACATTGACCAACCTGCTGGTAAAAAGCACTCAAAAGCAAGTGAGACAAATGTGGTTGTGAAATGTGTTCAGTATGTACATATATCAATGAGTCATGTTTTAGTGCAAGCATCTATATGAGCATTGAGGCAAAATGTGTGTTTATGTCTGTGTGTGCATCATGTGTCATCTGTGTGAGTTGACAGCATGAAAGGGTATTTTCCAGCCAGAGTAGGTCAAAGCCATCCAGTTCTGCTGCTGTTGCTGTTAGAGAGCCAGTGCCAGAGTGAGAACAGAGCCATGGAAGAGAAAAGGAAGTGTGCAGCCTCCAGAAAAGAGTGCAGCCTGAGAAACACTGCGACCTCGTCCCTCCCGGGTCCTCTCCTCCTCAACCATTATATATTTGATCATATATGTCCTCCCCTGTGGGATCCTCACAAACGTACACCAACGACTAAAAAGTAGCTTTTAATGGAAAGTCTAATGACCAACTGATGAAAGCAGAGGTGAGATGGGTGGTAGTTTGGTATGTGGCGTTAGCTTTGATAAGCAACAATCCTAGGAAGACACAAGACTAAGATGACAAAACGCGTAAACACTCAAATACTAATACTTAGGATATTACATCATTACTTTTAGGATTTGGAAACAAAGATCTCCATTAAGCTCAAATTAGGACACTGTTACCTGCATCTGAAGCTAAGAAATAGAGAATAGAAAAGGGAGTAGTTTGATCTATTACACCATTAAGACTTGACCTAAATCCGGGACGCTATAGGGGGAAACAAGCTCACACACTATCTAGTAAATACATGAAAAGAGGGGTATGAGGATGAGGAGGTGGATGGGAGGGACGAAGAGGAAGAAGGGTGAGGTGTTATTGTGCCGCGTGATGATGGAGTGAGTGAGTTAAGTATGGCTGAGTGAAGGGAAGTTAGTCCAAAAAAAAGAATAAATAAAAAAATGGGCCAAAACACACAAAACCAGAAGGCTAAAAAAAAAGGGGCCAACCACAGAAAAAATAAAAAAGGAGAAAAGATAAAGGCTCAAGGCAAAAAAGGAAGATTTCAACAAAAAGCTGCACGAAACACCAAAAGGGGAGGAAATATATATATATATATGTAAAATATATATGAAGAAGAGAGTATACGGGTATATATCAAGGGGTTATATTTAACGTTGGGGGTGTTGCCTACCTTCTTGGAAACCTGAACGAGAGATTTCTACAAAAACAAAAGAGGGATAAAGAAAGAAAGAGAAACAAACGTATATATAAAAACGTTTAGAATTAGAGAGACAAGCTGCCCTTTTGAGTAGCAAACTGACCAACACAGTCATTTGGGGTTGAAGCAACAAGCAACATTAAATAACGGAAAAATAAAAACAAAAATTATTGTCAATGACGTCGACTTTCAATCCGTAAATATGGGACGTGTGGTGTGAACAGACATTATTAATCGCACACAAAAACACCTAAGAAGGATTTAATGAGCTCTGTGGGAACATTCCATTAAGAGACCCAGTTTGAACAGTCACCCCCCCTCCCTCATCCCAAAATGAAAATGAAGCACTCCTCCACATTTAGAGTCTTCCTGAAAAGAAAGTGTTTGTGTGAGGTGAAGAGTTAACACATGGTAACCACAGAGAGGAGGGGAGAGAAATCCACCTCCTAAACACACAAAGACACATTTCAAATGAAAAAGCACAAGTTAAGCAACAACTTAATCTTGAACACACATTGAGAAACTTAATTTAGCACACACACATGCAAGTACACTGATTTGTGTGAAGTACTACCAACCAAGCAGAAAAGTGCAGTGATGAGGTTATATGATATGTTAATCAAACACATAGCTTTAGTGCTATGTATATGTGTGTGTGTGTGTGTGGTCAAACTGCACAAATGCAACACAATCTCTCTGTCTCCACCACTTCGACTTCCTACCAGCATGCCAAGTTGCGTGTGTGTGTCAAGGTGTCCCCACTACCGGTATTTATAGTTGAGGGAAAGTGATATCTCCGGTGTAACCATGGATACTGTCGCCACGGAGCTACAGTATCTCTGAGTGGGAGGCCTAGAGAGTGGCTGCGCCTGTACCTCTGCACCACACCCACACCCCCACACCCCCACACACACACACACACACACACACACACACACACACACACACACACACACACACACACACACACACACACACACACACACACACACACACACACACACACACACACACACACACACACACACACACACACACACAGCTTTCAAAGCTCAACTTCTGTTATTTTTAAGCTCCATTGCGTACACTCTTCCCCTTCCTCACACACATTTCCACCTTTAAACCCTGACTTGCCGTCACTTCCTCTCCTCCACATGGTCAATTCCTTCTCTGATAATAATATGCCAGTTCTTTGTCTCCTGTGCACTACTTTCCTCTCATTCTGACTGATGTGTACAGACTTCATCATGCTCTATAAGGATTTAGACGACCTTTTTTTCTATAGAAACTAGTAGAATCCAATGCACAGACAAGGAGGAACATCAGGCCAGTTGTCTCAAGCCACTTCTGTCAAAGAGTTAGTAGATACTTGTTGGGTTTTTCCTTCCCTTCCACTTTTGTCACCACAATGCCGTCTTCACCTCTCTGTATTTACACAGCAGAGTCAGATCAAAGGGACAAAGCCAGAGAGAAATTCAAAAACATCTACATAAAACTAGTTTAGCTCTGATTACAACGAGATACCCATGAGAGCAGTTTTAGGGCTGCAACCTTGTAGTGGAGGACTGAGATGAAAACTGGGCCAGACGTGGAACCGAAACCAAAATTACTCCTCAGTCACCGCCGCTGCAGACAAAATTATAGAGGAGCCACAGCTGTTCCCTTCCTCTCCCTTTCTACTCTCAGCAGAGTTACAGATCAGCACAAGTTTAGTGATAGGGGAGAGACCAGCCCCACTAAAGAAATGCTCCAGTGATGATATAGATGTACGGTGGAGGAAACGAGCACATGAAATGACTTGTAACGTAAACCTAGTAATTTTCTCCTTTAAAGCTGAAACCTCACTACTCAGAGAAAGCTTCAATCTGTAAAAGTACCGCATGATAATATACAAATGTTCTTTTGCCACATATTTCCCCCAGTTTTGCTACTTCCTTTCTCCGAGTATAATTCTAACTTTCCCCACTTTACATTTCCCCATGCTCCTCCCTCTCTTTTCCGCCGCTCACCTGCGTACGAACTTGGATGTGAACTTGCTGAAGATCCCCGTGGCTCCGTGTGTCCTCCGGGCCTGGCTGTTGCCATGTGACAGTGACGGGGACGCCGGGCCCCCGGGGTAGGCGGAGCCCTGCTGGTCCCGGGCCCCCCGCTGCTGGCCTGCGTGGAATGTGCTGCGGATGCCCACCCCTCGGGAGAAGTTGGCACGGTCCGACACGGCAGCGCTGCTGATGTTGTGGGCAGAGGGGGAGGCACCGGGAGGCCGCTGAGTCGTGGCACTGTAGAGGAAGAGTGGGAAGACAGAGGTGGGGAAGGGGGGTAGAGAAAGAGAGAGGTGGAGAAGACGAGGCGAGAAAAGATTGGAGAGGAGAAGAGTTTGGAAGGTGTGATGAGAGAAGCAGCAGAGGAGAGGAGGTGCAAATGAAGAAGAAGAAAGCAAGGTGGTGTGGGAGGAAGTAGATGGAGAGGGGATGGGAGTGAAGAGGAACAAACAGTTAGACAAACATCTCGTTCTGTCTGGAATGCTACTTACCCGAGTGTAAGGTCATACAAGTATCAACGTCTGCTCGCCATGATGTTTCATTTAATCCCTTAAGTCAGCCAAGTCAATATTTAGGGCCACGTTTAGGTCACAGATACACAGTTTTAATCCTCTTTGCTTTGACCGTGGGGCAATGCATCACAAACTCCAAGCGCTCTCTCTCTCTCACTCACACAGGAAAATAAACAAAACATACACTTGAGCTTAAAGCTTGCATTTGCTTTGTGGCTTGTGTGTGAGCATCTTCCAGCAGTGCACCTGCAGCAGATGGCAAACACAACAGACAGAAATTGCAAAAAAGCACCCACGCAGTGACAGAGTGGAATGAATTAGAAGTTAATGAGTGGACCGTCTGCATTAGAGGGCTGCAATGGGACTACCATAATACATAGCACACGTTTCATTTGCAGGACAAGGTTACTCCAATGAGAAACGAATTAAAGCAGTCCCATGCAGACCTCTACAACGCTACAAAGAAAAGGAAAGAGGCCAGTTTACACACTAACACTGTAATGAACAGCTTCAACAAGTCCTTCAATTTGATGTGGATATATTAAAGTTGTGCACAAACACACAGGTCCTCTATGGATAGGATAAAGAGGCTGGATCAAGAGGTTAGTGGAGATCAGTTTCACATATTATTATGAAGATGGCTGTTGAATGCAAGGAGAAAAATAGCTTTACCATTTTGTTTTAAATATAAAAGCACTGCATTGTCACTTTAAGAGAAGAGTAGTGTCATCCTGTAATTATCAGCAGAAGGTGTGTGTCATCAGGATGATTTTCATGCTAGTAAGCATACTTCATTTGCATATAGTCCAGAGCACCTCTAAGTTATACAAATGTGGCGCTGCCTTTGTACAGCCTTGCTGCCACATTACAGTACATCATGAGTACTCTTGCAGTAACACAGGTTGTTAAAAATGATGTTAATTCATGAGTGGTGTTTTTTAGAAGGGTAATTGGGGACAGCTGGATAAAAGAGGAGTGGGTGGGACATCAGGTCACAGACTATGTTCTGAGAAAAGGGTCCTAACCCTCACTGAGGGTACAGTCTATGTTTTGGAGTGGTACCTTCTCTCCAGCGTTCCCAACCAGGTTCTGAACATCCCAAGCTCACTGCTGAACGACGCATGCAACAGAACAAGACTTCAACATGGAGCAGACAAAAAGCACAAACAGCCAGTCTGACATTTGTGGTGGGTTTCCACTATACAGCCGTTTCAAGAAAGGCTGGGTTCCCTGATTCTGAACTAATATACCACTTGTTATAATATTTAAGTAAAGGATTGTTTTGCTACTCCTAGTTTGCAGGGACTTGTATTCAACTGATGCTGTAACCAGTAAAAAAAAAAAGGCCAAATTAACTAAAAGTTCAATCTTATTTCCACTTTAAAGTAGCTAAGGAACATTTTCAAAGACCATTATAATGTTATGTATAATGTCCACGGTATAAAGTGACTCAAGGGTCAGAAAAAGTGGTATAAAATATATCTGTATCAAAGCAGCCTTTGAAACAGACACTATCAAGCAGGCAACTTAAACAACACACCAAAAGACAAGTATAAAGACGGCCGACACACACAGATGATCAACCAGACAGTCAGGTGATTACTGCTTCATTCATTCAACGAGACACACGCCACATTACATTAATGAAGACAGGGTTTTCCCAGGCAACTTCAAAACTAAAAGGGGGGTTTACAAAGCAGATTGAGTGTGAATGAGAGCACTCAGCAAACTCTGAGAACAACAGAGGCTGTGGGGAAATGTATTGCTACTATTACTTCAGGATTGAGCTTGATTTGTACACCCTGGGAAAATCCTTCTGTCCACAAACACAACATGTCAGAAAACCAGATGTATATTATGCATATTACATAATATTATACATTTATACATGCAACAATAAGTCAGATACCATTTCAGAAAAAAACATGCATCGTCACAATTATTAGATCTGTATTTTTTGTTGACCACAGAACACTTTAGTTTATTTTAGCTGGCAGGCCATCCATTGGAATCAGAATGCAGAGAAGTGATGCTCAGAGAAGCACTCTGAAACTAGATATTAGGAATATATTGTCCATTAAAATCTCAAAAATATTAATATTTGACTATCCATCTGCACAGATAAAGTACACCTTTACTCTTTATCAGACCACCATTCGACTTTCTCTGGTCCACATACATTCTGAACTCTTATTTGCCTAGGAGATTGTTGTTCAGCATCCAAACAATTGACACAGACTGTCACTAATGCACTTCTGTGGGCAAGATCACCAGTTAGCAGGTCAGCTGTAAAGGTCTGAACAGCTTAGAAATGTTCCTGCAAATGTCAACTTCGTTTTAGATGCAGAATAATGTTTTTTTACAACAACAGAGTCAATTAATCAGGGGTAGGTTGAGGTCATACTTTGGACTTTTCTACACTTTACTTCTGTAATGTCAACATAAGCTTTCTAGGAAATGTTATCTCATTCAACTTTCTTTATATATTTGATTTCTTAGACTAAGTTTCCAGATGTACAGCACATTTCTCTATTAAGCCAGCATATAACCAATGTTATATAAGGAGCTGGCCTGCACACAGTTCACCAGCTGTGTGTGGAAACCTGATTCCTGCTTCATACACGTCTTTTCTCTGAATATGTCTGTTTTTATCTTAAGCCAGGAAACCTTATAAAACAAAAAAACAAAACATCTCCTGTCTGTCAGAGGTCGCTGCGGTGAAAAACCTGCTCATCTAGTTCTCAGGCTGACTGCTCAGTTATGGGTGGTGTGAAGTATGCGTGTGGCTGATTGGCCAGTGTTGCGGAGTTTAGCTTGTACTGGCTGTTGCTAAGTAACTGTTAAGTCTACGGTAGCTGGACGTCTCACTATGGTGATGCTGTAGTGGTAAATATATAAATGTGGAAACTCAGAACAACCCTTGATATCACCAGCAACTCCACAACGGTTTCATGTTAAGTATTTAACGCCGTCTATTTTCTGCTACACTACAATTATAGATAGGAAGTTTGCCAGATTTAATTGCATACTTTTCCAAAACTGCACACAAGTGACTCATCATTTTCGATCACCAATTTACCCTTTTGGAAAGGCTTGATCTCTTTTCGTGATATCAACACCCAGTGATGCAGGAGGCAGGTTTAGGTTGATAAAAAGACCATTCCAAAACAAAAAGCTATAAAACATTTGAGAATAAATGAGATGCATGTGAATGTGCATGTGAGGTGTCTGTTGGCAAGTGGGGCTCTTTGTTTTAGGTAAAACACCTACTCTTTGATACATTTCCCTGCTTTGTGAAAGCATGTCTTAAAAGCACTATGACGTCATCAAAGAGTTGTTTTAATGCAGCAGTGATGGAAGGTTTCAGAGCCCACATTTGATCCCTTCTTCTTCTCTCCTCTTTCCTTTTAGTCCATCCAGTTCTTGCGGGAAGGCTGATGATCTGTGCCGAGTTAATGAGCTGGAAGGGGCTGAGGCAGGGAGAGTGTGTGTTTGCGTGTGTGTGTGTGAGTGAGTGAGAGACTTGCCTGGGCCGTGGTGCGTGCAGGTCAGAGGGGCATGGATGATTGGAGGAGGAGAGGGACTTTTGATGACGGGGACGCGAGGAGGAGGAGGAGGAGGAGGAGGAGAGGACGGCAGCAGCCGAGGCAGTGGAGGCGCGGGAGCCCGGAGTGTTTAGGCTGAGAGGAGGGGGGAGGGATTGGAGGAATACCCCGCCCAACACACACACACCGACCGACAGAACGTGACACGGGACAAACACACCAAAAAGGTGACACAAACACAAGCATACACACATTCACACAAACACAGTGGGCGGGGTTTGTGTGTGGATGGGCGGGGAGGTGAGGTGGAGCATGGTTAGAAGCAGCACTTATCAAACACAGTAAGGGGGAGGGGGGGGGGAGAGAACAGAGGAAGTAGAGACAAAAAGAGACAGAAAGCACACAGCGGAAAGGACTGGAACAAAGAAGAAAAGTTGGTCTTTTTTGTTGTTAACATTGCTTCATGGTGTTTTCACATAAAAAAAACAATCAGAGGGCACCATCAAAGGCTGACTGTTCCTCTTCTGTTTTCATGTGAAGTCTACCCGAAACAAAAAGGCAGCACACAGAAGACAAACACACAACACACTTTTCTATTGGCTAGAAAGACTGGAATCACTCAAGACAAATAATGCGGACAAAGTCAGGTTACAAATATTACAGAAATGTGCAAAGCATTGCTACGCAGGATTAACTCCAACTACATTTGTCTAACCGATCCCTTTCCGCGTGTAAATATCTTTGTTTATCCATCTTAAGGTACAGAGTGCTTATTTGAAGATATCTGCAGTATACATTTTTTGTAAAGAACTGTGCCATACAAATATTTGTTTTGTTATATGCAAACATCCAATTTTGATAAGTTAATTCTTTGTATTTTTCCTCACTGGGAATATTTCCTTGTTTTTGGAGTTTACTATGATGTAAATACATTTAGTGATGGTTGGACAAAAAAGGCAGTTTGTGGATGTCACTTTGGGCTCAGCAAAGTATACATTTCTAGATATTTTACAGACTGAATGTTAAATAAATGAATCGGGAAAATTGACTTATGATTAAGGAATCATTAATAGGAAATAATTCAATCAACTTTGCTACATTGCTGAGATAAATATTTAAAATCTATATTAAAACCAACCTTTCTGGTGCTCCCTTTCAGGTTAGGGTCCTGACTTTCTGTATGAGACGAGTAGATGATTGGCAGAAAATAAAGCTTTTCTCATTGTTCTGTTTAAGAATTATCACTCTGACGCCTGAACTCGACATTTTATAGATCTGACCTGTCCCATTCCTCTCCAATCCTTTTCTACTGCTAACAATCTAAACAAGATGTGTAACAAAGCATCGTTTATTGATTAACTTGAGCAAAAACAGCACTGGCTGTTATCCTGAACTTTCTCATAATTAGCTACAAAGCTACCCACCCACACACACACACCACACACACACCACACACCACACACACACACACACACACACCACACACACACACACACACACAACACACACACACACACACACACACACACACACACACACACACACACACACACACACACACACACACACACACACACACACACACACACACACACACACACACACACACACACACACACACACACACACACACACACACACACACACACACACACACACACACACACACACAGCAGAGTGGGACCAGAGAGAGACGAAGAGAGGGCAGAGGAATGAGCAACGAGCAACGAGAGGGACACTTTTATTGAGGTCAACCAACAGCTGCTAATTACACAGAAAATAAACACCGAGACAAACGCACACTTTCTTTCCGACGGAGACTAGTGCGGCTAGTGATGGAAAAATAACGGCATTCAATGATAGCCCAGCGTGTGGCAAGCGATTGAGCATGGGTGACATGTATATTTAAGCCTGTGTGTGTTAATGAGTTTGTGTAGATATTTCTGTGTATATGTAAGCCTATTAGGAGGCAGTACAGGGACCATATAATGCCACTAAGAGTTAATATTCCATCACAAGTCTGCCTAATCTCTTTAGAGAATAAGAAAGATTTATATAAAAACAAGGAGGAAAATATGAAGCTGGACACAAAGGAAAAGTAAGAGGCGCCGAGAAAATGTGAGAGCTCAGACGAAAGAACACCAAACGAAGACAATTAGAAAGAGAGAATTGGGAGGGTTGGGGGGTGTAACATGTTTAAAAGCCCAAACTTCAAAGCATTAATGATGATCAAATAAAGTTACTTTAAAATCAAAGCAGATGACAACAACTAAGTTAGCAGAGTCTAACACAGCTATTAGACCCACAGTGCTAAAAAAACAACAAGAAAATGCTGTCTCAAATGACCTCATCATCACTGCATAGTGCTTAGACTAGGAATAAAAACACATTTATCAAGATTCAATAAAACATTTTAAATGATGTTATAGGTTAGGCACTATTCCAGGGACAAAGAGGTCATTTGAGAATCATGAACAGGCAATAAAGCAGTAATGACAATGAACACTGCATCACAGTAGGGATTATGGTTTGGCTTAATGTTTAATGTTCATGAGAAAGCACACAGAGCATATGGCTGGTTAAGCATGAGTGATGGTGGTATGTGTGGACGCGTATTCGGCACTGTACGATCCCGGGTCTACTCAAAGTACCGCAAAAAAGCGTTTTTTTATAATAAAATAAAGATTAACCCACAAGCGAGAAACTCCGAAATGTTGTATTTTTATTTTGGAATTGTTTGAAGTGGTAAAAAAAAAGGAGATCTGGAAGCATGACATGAGCGAGGGGAAAGGGAGGACATATTACACAAAAAGGAGGGCGGGGCTTGATTTATGGCTAAACCCAATGGCTGAAAGGAAGCTTGCTTTTGACTTTTTATTACTTTAAGATTATTGTCATTTGTTGAGGTTCATACCTACTGAAACCTTCTTTCCCTGATTGGACTTTGGGCAAAAACTTTGATTAAACTGGGGGAAGTTCATTGGAACAGCACATTTTGTTAAAAGGAGAAGGATTCAATGCCAAAAGAGGTCTGTGTGTGTCAACCTGCGGGTGTGTTTACCGAGTGGGTGTGTGTCCATCGAATCCTGCCTGTGCTCTGAATGGCACTCCACCACCAGGGGTAATCTGTAATCTACTGAAGGGTTGGCCTAAATTCCCAAGGGAGCCAGAGTTCCTCTTCCAGGAGGGCTCACCCCACCCCGGGGGGGAGAGCGCTGAGGGCCTCCCTGAGCCAGCTGGCAGAGCATTGAGAGAGACCGGCCAAGGTCTGGAGCTCAGACACCAAGACAGCTGCGGGCCGGCTTCATTCACAAACCAGAGTGTGTGTGTGTTTATGTGTAAGTGCAGTGCATCCTCACTAACACTGAGACTCCTTGAAATAGAGTGTGTGAGACACCAGTGGTGCGTCTCTTTTTACCTCGTGTGTGCATGTGTCTTTGTGTGTGTGGGTACCTGTCCTTGCCGTTCTGGATGCCCTGGCCCAGCGTGGATCTCTCAGTCAGAGGAGAGTTCCGACTACGACCGGTACCGGTGGACAGGATGCTATTCTGAAGGGAGAGAGGAGGAAAAGAACAGCAATGTTAGAAATATAGAAATGTTTAGGATCAAGACATTGAAAGTGATTTAAGTCGGATGATAAAAAGTGATATATTATTGCAGGAAAAAGCATCCCGCAAGCTTCGCGATTGGCACGGATTAGTGAAATTAATTACATGACAATAAGGCCTTAAGAGTATTTCATGTAGCAAATTAAATTTCCTGCAACTTGTCATGGTACTGCACAATCATACACATTCTAAATCTAATTGGGCAACTTATTATTCACAGAAAAGGCGTTAAGTATAATCCAATATATTATATTTGATTGCATTCATAATGTTTTGGATAGCTAACAGTTCATTCCCTTTATGGTCCTATATACAGGTCAGACTATATATTAAAAAATTAGAATCTTTTAATCGTTGCTGTTCTTATTTATGAATGGTCATTTAGAGAACCCTCTCTCCCTCACAGGGTTTTTCCACTACCCGACACCATCTTCTCGGGTTGAGGTGAGGTGGAGCTTTACATGGAATTACACAATGTCAAGGAAGTCAACACGCTAATAAAAATCATAAAGTGGTCCCTCCATAAATGAACAGGAGGGTGACACAGATATTAAGAACAGGTCTTATCAGGCAACTGACAGCTTTGCAGGTGAACCACGGTGAGTAGGGAGGTCACATTTCATTACTGCATTCTACAAACAATCTATAAAAGCCCTTCAGTGGAGAGTCTCTAAATACCCTCAATATTCTTACAACTTTTCAGTAGAGTTTATTCTCTAACATTTGTTTGAAGGTGTCGTATTGAAAGTGTCATCTGTTTTAAATGACTGCTGGCCAGAACTGGAGAGGAAGTTATAGAGGTTCCTACAAGTGTTGATTTCATAATCTATTTCTTAGTCCTGTGTTAAATGTCCTTGCTTGTTTCAGCACATTATAAAGAAAGATGATGACGTTTTTTGTATTTTTTTTAAAACTAGAGTTTAGTCTAATATTTTTTGTCAATTGTCATCATTGTTTTATTCATTAAAGAAAGGTCTCTGACAAAAAGGTTTAGTCATAGTGTTTTGTTGTTGAGTTGGTTGATACCCGGAAAAATCTAAAAGGCAATTTCACAAAAGACATTTTGTCACACTAGGAAAAGCACAGGCTGCATCAGTTTCAGGGTCCTTAGTACCGTAGATGTCACACTGTCATCATGGCTGACTGGAACACTTGTGCCTGTAACACCTGTGCCTCCCTTAAGGTCCACAGTTTCTCTTTAACACCAAGAAAATAACAAAGTATTGTGGGTGTGTAAAACTAGGAATTGGCATCACATAACTGGTGGTTATGAGACAAGAACAATGTCTCATTAAAGATGACTCAAATAACAGACCAGATTGACGTGACGCACACTTAAAGGTTGTTTACATTATCTAGCCGTTTATTCAAGATAGTTTAACTAGTATCTAGCATTGCATTTGATCTTTGGACCTAAGATAATATGTAGCTGAAGTTTTACTTTCATTAAGGAGCTACTCTTACTTTACGAATCAAAAGTAGCTTTCGTTTTCTCTTTCATTAAAGTTGCTACAATTACAGTATGTCTTTTTGTTGAGAATCTGAATGTCTGTACATTTGAATGTTTGTGTGTTGTGAATGTGAAGTAAGCAGTGTGTGTGTGTGTTGGGTCTCACGGTGGAGGGCGTGGCACTCTTCTTGCGGTCAGTGGGGACCAGAGGGCTGGCCGGCACCTTGGTGGTGGAGCTGCCTGATGAACCTTTCCTCCCAGCATCCTCTCCTGCAGTCCGGTTGTCTGTTTGACCCCCCCTCTTAGAGTAGGAAGAGCCTTGAAAATGAAAGAGAGGGAGTGCATGAGAAAGGCCATCACTGGATGTGCTCTAATCAGAGACCTTTCTTCCCATCTCAACCACTTTTGGCTCTGCAGCTTATTTATGACTTCCTGTCTTCTTTCAGCTCCAATAGAAATCAGTCAGACCTTCTTTTCAATCTGCTCCTGTGGCTCCATTGTTAAATCAATCCTATCTTCCCTCTACCTCATAATTCTACTGCACATCCAGCCCATCTCTCTTACTTTAACCTTTACTCCAACATATATCAAGCCCATGTACTCAGGATGTTTGCTGCGTCTCCTCATTTTTGCCCTTTTCCTGTTTTACCTCTTATGATAAATATTTATGTCTATATCTTTTTGCGGTTACTTGTGTGATTTTCTCTTTTATTATACCATTTTTAATGAGCAATATGTTGGAGGAAGCCTGATATCTAAGGTTTTTATTTTCACTGTCCAAAACTCCAACACTGTTATTGTGCTTATGATAGTTAATACATTGTAACCTGTCACCTCTAAATTCTTATTAAACTCTACATTTTTCAATTAAATCAAACTTTCTCCCATCTTTCACAACATGAGTCCTCAAAACACAATGTATTGCTTATTTTAAAAACTATTTTGAAACGTTTTACCTTATCACTACCTTTAGAAGCATTATATCTTCTATTTAACGATACAGGACTGGAGATAATTAGCAGCATACAGCATCATTCATACCATAAGATTCCATTTAAAACATGTTAAAGGAACTGACTGCTTTATCTCTGAATTTCAATACGATACCCCATCTCAGTTTCCTTCTCCTAACCCTCTCTTACATCCCCCCTCCTCTCCGACACACACCCGTCTCACCCTGGTCGTTGGTTCTGCGGTTTTGAGGCTTCTGGTTGGACGACACACTGCGCTGTACCTTAGAGGGGCAAGATGGACATACAGGTCAGTTTGATATTGTTTATTTAAGAGTTGAACTCACTGGGACGTGAGTAGAAGCTGCATACACAGCTGCTGCTGCTGCTGCTGTTATGTGTCTATAAAGCCATTCACATGTGAAACCCACAACACTTTCAAATAAAAGAAGGGGAAGGCACTGCTTCACACGTACCTGTATGTAGGTCAAAGATGTAAACTCTTAATGAGAGCTGTTTGAGATTAAATTCCCAAAGTGTATTTGTCAGAAAATGAAGAGGTCAAGTCATTGCACTTGTCACCTTCTGGAGTCAGGAGACCTCAGTATGTGTAAGCAGGAGACGTTATGTGTTCTCATTGTACCTTGTGAGGCGGGGAGGGGGCATTAATATTGCTTACATCACTTCCTGGCCGGGGTTTGATGCCACTTTCTTCCAGCTGCGGGACAAAGAGAAACAAACAGGTTTAAAATGATGTGTATCATAGAAACTGTTAGGTGGGTTCAACAACTCAACTTTATTTATATATCACCTTTCTAGTTTCGATTCATCCGTTTTTGTCTATTATATGCCAGAAAAAGAGTGAGACATTTCAGTTTCTAAGAGTCAAAGGTGATCTATCAACGTCTTGTCAAAATACTGAAAATCTCTCACACACAAAGCTCCATATCCTAAAGGCGGCACAAAGTGCTTCCCAGAGCAAGGTTAAAACATCATAAACAAAAATGTAAAAACTAAAATAGATATTTTTAACAGACAACATGCTAAAGTTCATTAGAATTGAGAAAATGTGGAGGTACCTGCAGACGTTGATTCACATGCGCAGGAGAGCAGATTGAGTGCAACTTGTTTCTTAGTTTTTTTATTTACAAACCTCACTCAAAAATATTAATACTTTTTTGACATTTAAGATTTTCTTCCAGTGAGATATTCTGTTTGGAATAATATATTTTCTTTCAAAGGAATAATTATCAGTGATGATTAGAGTATTAATAATAATAATAATAATAACAGCTCACAAAACCAGTAGGGTAACTGCAGCTTCGACAGATCTGACAAACCAATTACAGCGTGTTAAATAAAGGTGTGTAGGTTTGATTAAGGCAGAGCGTACCTCATTGTTCCTAAAGTCCAGTAGCAAGTATGCGGCCATCACATCATTGTACTTCTGATTTACCAGCGAGTCTTGAATCTCTTCCGCAGAAAATCCCATCGTCAGCATGATGTCTGCATGCACAAAACGTGTTGAAAATTAGAACGGTGGAACTCTGTAGGTACATAATTCATCTTGAGAAATTTAAAATATGTGTTGAGTGTGTGCTTGGGTGAGGAAGGAAATACATTTACCATTTTTGAGTTTGTTTCCGTTCCTACCTGTCCGCCTGGGGTCCTTATAATCTGGCATGGGTTCGATATAGGGTTTGAGTTCTTCGTCCTCATGACCTACATTCATCCACCGGTCCCTCATTATTTGCTGCTGAGAGAAAACCACACAGACAGATACAGGGAGGATAAGATGTCAAAGACATTAGAAGGGGTAAAGAGCAGGGGAGGGAGGAAAGGTTAAAGAATAAAAGAGGAGACAAGAGAAAGAGGGGGGAAAGGTTAGTACAAAAGAGTCTCACAAAGATAAATTACTAATACAATGGAAATGATGCAGGAGCCAGCGATGCATGATGAATTCATTCTGCGTTTTTCATCGGTTTACTTCACCACTATGTATTTTATCTTTGAAATGCAGATTAATCTTCCTTAAAAAGTGAACAGGGGAGCTTTTATAATGAACTCCAGATGGAAGACAGGGCTAAACTCCTAAAAACTGCATGTGAACTGAACTATACCAATTGTAGACAATCTTTGAGGTAGGTGTAAATGGGACAGTCACAGGACTCGATTCTAGCACTAACATTAGAGTCTTATCTCGTTTTGTTTTTTTACAGAGTAGCCATTACATTTAGCAGGTCAAACATAGACTGTTGAAATTCAAAAATACAATATGTTTTAATCAAAAATGAATACTAGTAAAGTTAAAGTGACGCCTGTTACTCAGCAGCAACTAGTTGTTTGCCTTCAGCTTCTATTCAAAACTAGGTAATGTCCAACTATCTTCAGTGCTCCCACATTTAGTAACTCATAACTCTCAGACTAACAAGTATTTACTATGCCTTTAAAAAGCACTTTACACTTCAGCAACAAACTCGCATATAGCTGGTGAAGCAAGTCCAGCTGAGCAGTATAGCACTGTATGCGCTTCACCCACCACCACCGTCTGTGAGTTTGATAAGTCTGACCAAAGTGATTTATTAGTTATTATCTTGTGTTTGTATTCGCGTGTGTGTGTGTGTGTGTGTGTGTGTGTGTGTGTGTGTGTGTGTGTGTGTGTCAGAGTAGCGTACCTCGAGGCTGCCTCTTTTAGAGGGGTTCAGAATGAGAAACTTTTTGAGCAGGTTCTCACAGTCGGTGGACATGTAGAAGGGAATCCTGTATTTACCACGCAGCACTCGCTCCCTCAGTTCCTGGAGATGGACAAGAGCATTTAAAGTCAGCAGTGGACTCTTAAAAACAATCCTTTTCTCTCACGTTCTCAGATGCTGTCCGAGAGCAACAGAATATCCAACTGTTTCCAGCGATTTACAGAAAACGAGAGTCTATGAAACAGTGCCTAATGATAAAGGACTTGACTCTGAATCTCATCAGTAATCTAAAGTGGCCTGAACAAGCCAATAGACAACATTAGCTGTGGTTACACCCCCAAATGATTCATAGTTTCTGAAACAAGTAGTGCATTTACCCAAGCTGGTAGGCATTTTAAAAGGCTAACGAAGTGTAGTTTGGATCCGACTTTACCAAAATATATTATTAAAAATACATTTTAATTCCCTCTTTAAAATACATTTGACTTTAATAGATCAGCAAAATTATATAAGCATTGAAAACTGTGCTTTACCTAATGTCCATGTTTTTTTGTTCATATTCATCTGTGGAAGGAAAATTAAGACCACTTCTACTATAGGGATACATCTGAAAACAGTCAGGCTCCTATCTGTTGAATTAATAGTAGGAACAGTAATGTAGATTTTAAACAAAACTTCACCCAAGCAGGAGGTAATGTTAAAGAATCTGAATAAACCTGGATGCAGGGCCTTTCATATCATTATAATCGCATTCAATGTCATATCGCCCACCCAAAGTGTGTCTGCACTTCCACAGTGACTCATCTGTGTAAAGACAGAATGTTTATTTGATAGCGACAATGTGTGATGGGCGGTATGAATAATTAAGAATAACAACTTATCTCAGCGCCTGTTTGGGTGCTGAAAACCACCAACACCATTAGAAGTGCTTGGGTCGGCTTATTCACTATACACATTCACTCTCTCCTGAATTTAGTTTCTGCATTTTAGACGGCAGAAGGAACAGAAACCAGCATGACAAATACTACAACCACCCACAGAATGCAGACATCCTCTTATGTAACCCACATCAAACACACGCACAAACAAACTGGCTCCTCTTCCTGACCTTGAGGTTCTGTCCATCGAAGGGCAGCGAGCCGCTGACCAGCGTGTACAGGATCACCCCCAGACTCCACACGTCCACCTCGGGCCCGTCGTACTTCTTCCCCTGGAAGAGCTCCGGGGCGGCGTAGGGCGGGGAGCCGCAGAACGTGTCCAGCTTGTTCCCCAGAGTGAACTCATTACTGAAGCCAAAGTCCGCTATCTTGATGTTCATGTCTGCGTCCAGGAGCAGGTTCTCTGCCTGAAGACCGATCGAGTGTGGGAGAGAGAGCAAGGAAAACATTAACGTGATGCAAAGAGCAGGGACATAGAGGAAAATATAAAAATGTAAACATGACGGGGTTACTTGGTTCTGAATACATGTGCCAGAAAATGAAACAAATGTTTGAGTGTTATGTCATTTCTCCACATATCAAATCACTTTTCGAATCCACAGGAAGGTCAGTGCTACATAAGTAAATGTGGAAGACAAAGTATTACAAATAGGCTGCTCGGTTATGTGTCAGTTGAGCAAAAACGTTCTCCGACATGCAAATGAGTTTGAAGATAATTATTCCACAGACAGTTCTCTTTGACACCTTTCTCCGGAAAGAGTAATGGCCCGGGGCCTACAAGAATCACACAATGGGCAAAGCGAGTTCATTTTGTGTGTGTGTGTGTGTGTGTGGCCTTCACTGCCTAAAGTGAGGCAGTGAACATGAGGCTGGGGTTGCCTAGCAACAGGTGCGCTATTCTTTTCACTAGCTCTGAATACACTGCCGTGTTTGAGTGTGTGTGCACATTAAATACAACACTGACTCTCTAGACTTTGAACTCAGAAATAAATGAACAGTGGTCACTCTTCTTTTCTACTAACAAGTTTAATCATCTATAGCTAGTTATCATGCAAAGTAACAAAAAACTAGTAGACAGAGCTGTAATAGCAGTATGAAGAACATGAATGCAGTCGTGCTGGGTTTTTCATCTTTGGACCAAAACAGAACGATTTCCATCTCGTTGAGCTAGAATTAAGCCTGTGCTGGATTTCACGATAGAATGCACAGATCAAGAGTGATTAGGATAAAGTGCAGGACAGTACGCATTACAATAATTGGAACCGTCTGTCCTCATGAAGTCTTGTCTCTCATTCTCTCTTTTTTTGTGCACGCCAACCATCATTGCCTGGTAAAGAGTGAAAAATGTTTCGTGACCTTGCTGAAAGCACTGAAAATGTTTATAAATAGCTAAACGATAATCATGATTGGGGACACAACTTTGAGATGAGAGGGTTCTGTATGGTTACAGTAATCATGATAATGTTCTGTCTACAGGTCTGCCTGCTGGCACAATAAGAGGATTAACAACACAATGGGCGGAAAGCATTAGGTCTGTGTTTTAATTTCTGGCACCAACTGAAGTGCTTTAAAGACAGAAGGGAGAATATATGGAGAGACAGAGAGAGAGGATTATCCAATAGTGAACACAAGAGGAGAATTACGTAAGAAATAAATGTGAGTATGTATGGGTATGCGTGTTTAAGCCCTAGCACTCGAAGAGGGACATTATATAATATTTGTGATTAACCCACGAGTCACCTGTTCATGGAGGCAGAATTTCTAATCTCAAAAAGTCAGATCCTATGATGTTAAAAAGTGGACAAAGAGCGAGAGAGCATGCCAGTTTGCACTTTGACACCCAATGTAATTCAATCATGTGTGTGTTCTCACCTTGAGGTCTCTGTGTACTATACACTTCTGATGGCAATACTGCACCGCTGACACAATCTGGAGAGTGAGAAGTGAGTGAGAGAGGAAGAGACAGAGTGAGAAAGGATGACAAGATGAACAAGTTTTAGAGATTAACTATAAGACCCTGACCTCTCCATTGGGGTACTTCAGAAAGCGATAATAAAGTACAAAGGGAGCTCAATTTATGCAAAACTGCTTATTAATATCAATCATTAAAATTAGAGCTGTCAAACGATTAACATTTTTAATCAGATTAATCACAGCTTAAAAATTAATTAATCATGATTAATCACCATTCGAACTATGTCCAAAATATGCCATTTATTTATGCATATTGTTGTGGGAATGGAAAGATAAATGAAAGAAGGCGGATATATCCATTTAACATACAGTATCTATGTTTATTATAACATTTTTCTGCGTGTCAAAATGAAAGACAACCCACACACCTATCAATCATCAAACCGTGGGGTCTTAATTCATTACGTGTTGATTTCTATCAACGGGGGAGTACTTCAGGAAAGTCGACGGGGGGGGGGGGGGCCTAGTGGAGTACTTTGTGACCACAGAGTGTGAACGTTGTGATCAGCTGTTTTAGCGCAGTTCTCCAGTGAAGGGGGGGAGGGAGTCTCCCTCCGCAGCCGGTTGGCGTAGTCTTGGCACAATTCCGATGTATAGACCGACGTTAACAGCAGCCCTGTCTGTGCACACGGAGACCGACTCTGTCGTCCGGTGATCTAACCGCCTTCTGGAAAAGCTTCACAAGTACGTCGGTACGCAAATGCGCTTTGTGACACAAGTGACGGTACGCATTTCAGATTACGCACATAACCTGCGTACCAGTTATACAGCAAAAGTATTCTCCGTCGGGACTTCCTGCAACAACACCACGCCGTTATCTTGATTCTGATTGGCCAGAAGACATTATCAAAGATGTTCTATTGAGAAGACGATCACTACGTGACAAAAGTTTTCAAAACCGTTTCTAGTCTTCGGTATTTCCAGATAAGTGGCTACTGAAATCAATCTTACTAACTGCTGTCTGTGCAATTCTCGGCGCGAGTTGGCAGACTTTATTTTGCTTACTTTAACATCATTTGTCATGGTGGGGCCATTTCTTGGTATGGGTGTAGCCTACCCCAGCCAAACCCTGGCGCTGCCACTGGTGGGATGTATGGGGCGGGCCATTCTGCACATGCGTTAAATGCGTTAAATATTTTAACGCAATTAATTCAAAAAATGTATTACCGCCGTTAACGCGATAATTTTGACAGCCTTAATTAAAATATTAAATAAATGCACTTATTAAAATAAAAAGAGATTCCTGCTTCTGCACTTCAGATCTATCATGCCTTAAAACAACAGCAGCGTACACAAACATACATATAAAATTACATAACCAGACAGTAGTGCTGCACGATATGAATATATAATGGGATGACGTTGTTGAATAATATGTGCTGCTTCTTTCAGTTTACTGCTAAAAATACAATAAAATGCTTGTTAAATATTTTAAAATAATTTCATTTAAAAAAGAAAAAAAGTAACATCGATCTGTGCACAAAAGCCAACGACAAAGAAAATATGAGTGAGGTTTCCTACTGAAACTCTAAACCCATTATCGTGCAAGTTGACATCGTGATGAAAATAAAAGCTAACATATTGGGCAGCCCTAACAAAAATGCATTTTCTCCAAAATAAACAAAAACAAACCTGTCTGAATTTGGCACGGGCTTCTTTCTCCTTCATCCTGCCATGGGCCACCAAGTAATCAAAGACCTCTCCTGGGAGACGAGAGAAATGAGGAGAGCAGGGTTATTGTTGGAACCTAATACTTGTCTCTTTATTAAGGCCTGAGTATTAGGTGAAAAGAAAAAAAGTATAGAAACTTTAACTAAAATACAAATACTTAAAAACAGGCTTCTTTCTTTTGTAATAAAGTACGTTATTTTCTTTTCATACAAAAAAACGGTTTATTCGTATATATGCGTAATCAAATTAAACACGGCTTCTATGTTAGAAATAAAGAAAAAACAACAGTTCAGCAAACATATATAATAAAATAGACCTTTTTTTGTACATTTCTTTAAAATAAAATAATATTGAATACAAATGTGAAATCCTGTAATCATGTGCGTCTACATTGAGAGGACTCTCCCAGAAAAAAAACTAAACCTGTGCACTATGAGGGGGGGGGCAGCATTTGATGGTAACATACAGAGTGCCCAGCCTCAGGGGGAATTATTTCACAGTGACACGCACTCACCTCCACTGGCGTACTCCATTACCAGGTACAAAGTCTTCTCTGTCTCTATCACCTCAAACAGCTTGACTGGAGGTGGAGAGAGAAAAGCAGGAGGAGGGGGAGGGGAAAGTAAAGTGAAGGGAGAAGGGACAGGAAAGAAGAAAGCAAAAACAAAGAGATAAGACAAAAGCAGAAGTATTAATATGAGACAGGTTGAATGCATGACCTTGAAAGACAAAATACATCGCTGCGGGACGACAGAGTGATCTCACTGTGACTCACCTATGTTGGGGTGATTCAACATCTTCATGATCCTAACCTCCCGGAAGAGCTGCGAGAGAGGAGACCAGATTTATTTTGGTGTTGCTCGTCAGTGTGCTGATACATTTATATTCTACACATTTAAGTGCAAAATACTTTCAATAGATTTGTTATCAATTTGTTTATGAAGTATACTGTATTTTATTTGTGTCATTGCATAGACTCTTAATCAATATTTGCAGTGGGTAAAGTGACATTGAAAACATAAATATGCACTTCCTGTATGAGCATGTGTGTCAATTTACTAAAAAGGGAAACAAATATTAGTTTAAATCCCGGCACAATTTAGGATTTCAGAGCTAACAAATGTTGCCTTCAGCTGCTTGTAAACTCTGATAGGATACATTCAAGCATAACAAGTATTAATTCCAGTCTGTGCCACTCAGTCTCTTTCTGTGGTTTAGGTGAGAAGAGGCAGTTTTCACTCATTATATATTTATTTGACTCAGCAGATAAGGGCAGCAGATAACTAGGCTTACTGTAGACAGACAGTTAGAAGCCAGAGTATAACTGTTAAGGTTGCAAACAACCCAAAATGAAACACATTCAAAAGGTAATGTGTGTAATATATACTCAAACACAATGTTTTGTTTCATTTCACTTGCTGTCTTATTAATATAATGTAATACCATTTTTCAAAATGGCTTTGAAACCAGTAACACATTCAGTTATGTTTTGTTATTATTAAATTCCTAGATATTAAGAAAACAACTTGACATTTAAGGCTTACACAATGTCCCTTGATCGCGTATAGCATTTCCGAATGTCCAGGTGTTATTTTTGTGTCAAAATAAAACAGTGAGTGTTTGTCTTTTCATGGGTCTTTTAAAGCCAGCACATTATTTGCTTCAGTTGCAGCATGCAGAAATGCGGCAAGACGCATTTTCAAGAACCATGCAAAAAGAACAGACAAAGAAAAAAATCTGTTAAAATAAAGACTTTAAGAACTGATAGGGAATAATATCAGGAGTTCCAAATTGGTCCCTAATGCATTTGATGTGAGCGTGTGTGAGCATTTATCACTGGATTGATGTGCTGTGAGTGTCTTTGTGACGTCTTAAAATGTTCCTGTCATGTGTCCACATTTGCGCACATTAAAGACGCACGAGCGTGTGTGTGTGTGTGTGTGTGTTGAATGTGCACATACATGGTAAGGGAGTGTGCGTGTAAGTGGACAGACCCCACCCTGCCACGATCAAAAGAAGTAATTGCAGCTTGTTTCCTGTAATTAAAACTCTCTCTGAAAAACTAGACCACTTCAGAAAGACAGAGAGAGAGACAGAAGGAAAAAGCAAGAGAGAAGGACATGTGGGGCAGGAAGAAAGAGTGACTTGAAAATGACTTCTGAGAAAAGGGATAAGAATGACTGAGGTTTGGATTTCGTGCCCATATGTGTGTGTCCATGTGTGTGTGGGTGTGAGGGAGAGAAAGACCCACCTTCTGCAAACTGGAGGAGTTGAGCTGTGTCTTATCAATGATCTTTACAGCCACCTAGAAGCAAAACCACATGTGTTATTACTCTTTTATTCATCGACAACAGTAGCATTGCAGCTATCTTTTTGGACACATCACACACACAGAAGAACGATAAAATCTCACACACAAACACATATTCACAGCGGGCTACAGTTGCATAACAGGCACACACACAAAGTTAAAGCATGGTTTTTACCCATGCTATAATGAGGTCTATAGTTCATAATCCAACAGATGATGCCAACAACAGAGAGAGAGACGGAGAGTTAAACACAAAAAAAGGAAAGAAAAATAGAGATATGGACAGATGGGTGATATTCGAAGTGAGAGATGTAGAATGAGCAGATAAAACAGAAGAGAAAGGAGGACGTGAAGATAAAGCGAGGAAAACAAATAAGTATATGTCTTAACAAGGACACCGAAAAGGGAGGTTTTCTCCCACATCCGTCTTTCACTGTCAACCAACTCCTTTCTTCCACTCCTCTTTCTGGTTGTGCTTGTCTGTCTGTCTTTCATACCCTCTGACTCTCCCTTGTTTTCTTTATGTATGTGTGTGTGTGTGTGTGTGTGTGTGTGTTAGCGATTCACATGGAGTGGTATCAGGGTGTCAGGCACAGAGCTGTCACACATTGACAGAGCCCTCACACCCCTCTATCTCCCTCTCTCTCCCTCACACACACAGTGTACTTCAGTGGGCCTCAGACAGACCCCAGCATGGGCTCGCTGCAGACACAGCGTTTCCCTTAAAGGTACAGACCACCGCGTTACATCACATCTGGAATTCACAGTAAGCCAGAGACATTTGGGCTTCTCTATTCAAGCTGACAATGGCCACCTAATCTCCCGCAGCAGATGTACCGTCTCCAAAGCCATGCGAGGCCAGGATCAGACCGGGCCCCACTGTGCATCCCAGCATGAACCCTCCCGTATCCTCAGCAACCAGGAAGGAAGATTAACAAATAGTCCAAACATTTAACTGTTTTTCTACTTTTAACATCTTCTATTCTAAGCAGAAGTGTTTTTTGGTGATAACATAGCTGCTGGTTAAAGGACTGGCAGTCCATTTTTCAGTTATACTACGGGGTCAGGTTCCATAGCCTGCTTAAATTGTCTAATGGCAATTCCCTTATACGTTTATATATACATTAAGCACCAGATTAAAGTCTAATTGAGATTAAAAAGTAATTCATTTCATGAGTGTCCGGGCCAAAAGGGCAACATAAACATTGTTACAACAATAAACACAATAATACAACTTTTCAGGGAAGATTTAAAGATAAATAGAACAGTCAAAGCAGTTTGAGATGTACATACTAATCTACACAAAATGCAGTTTGAGATGTATATACTAATCTACACAAAATGCACTTTGACACACAATCCACAGGCTAATAGTTTATATATATATATCTTCATCTTAAATGTCAATCAATCACATTTGATTAATATAGCCTAATATCAAAAATGCCACATTTGTCTCAGGGGGCTTCACAGTGTGTACAACATATGACATCCTTTGACTTTATGAACTTGCTTCGTACAAGGGAAAAAAGGGTAACGATAATTAAATAATATAAATAAATAATATTAAAAAAAAGGTGGATTTGATGATGCCAAAAAAATGACCGTGTAGGTGTCAGAATTGTTGGCGTTTGTAATTAAAGAAGCCAGTTTCCAGGTAAATAAAGTCACAATAGTAACGTTTCTCTCAAACATGTGGCTTAAAAGAAAACACTGAGTCTAGGTGACCATCAGTGGAACCAAAGGACAGATTGTCTAGCACGTGTGCACTGTGCATGTATGCCTACCTCTTTTCCGGTGAGGACGTGTCGGGCCAGTTTGACCTTGGCGAAGTTGCCTTTGCCGATGGTTTTTAGCAACCGATAGTTTCCGATGTGCGGCTGGTCGTCTGTTGTGGTCGTGGCGACGGAGTTCCGACATCGCGGCATGCTGGAGCGGCTGGAGGATTTGGTCTCCTGAGAAGAGATAAAACAACATGTAATCATCAAGAGGAGTACATGATGACTCAGAACACTAATAGAAAGTGACAGTGAACGAGTAAATGAAGGAAAAGCCTTTGATTTCCTTTTCAATTTAAGTCGATTGACCCATATCTTATTTCTGGATTTATAAAAGAGACATTTATCTATTAAAAAGTGGATTATTATTCATTCACAGAAGTAGAACAACCAACAAAAACACATTAGCAATGAAAGAAAAACTAGGTTAGATAAATATACACACAACTCGTCAACATCGTAACAGAAACACCAGTCTAAAGCTGTTAATGGAACCCTTTACAGTACCATCATATACATTCATAATTGAGTATGAGCACATGTTACTATGAACCACTGCTACGTGCTGCAACCATGTCTAATAACACCAGGATCAAGGTAAAGCTGCTGGGACACTGAGTTTAGTCTCGATGCAACTCTTGTCACTGTTTTACTTTGGTTAATGTTACACTGCCTCTAGTCCAAACAATATTCACCATTTAGGAACATATTGATATTGTGATGATAAATGTATACGCTGTGTGAATAATAAAACATTTATGATCTGATTCCGACTGCATGTGTGACTTTCTTTTGAACCTACAAGGGCCAGTAGTGTATACAGTTATTTCAAAAGTTATTATACAAGCTAAAAATGCTTCAGTTCACCCTACAGCAGACAGAAGGTCTTTCGAGTCATACACACCCACAAAAACAAAAACAAAACCTTGCTGTGCTGGCAAGTTTTACATGGTTGGCTACTGCGATTGGGTTTCAACTCCAGGAAAGGGTCAGAGCAATTGTGTGTGTGTGTGTGTGTGTGTGTGTGTGTGTGTGTGTGTGTGTGTGTGTGTGTGTGTGTGTGTGTGTGTGTGTGTGTGTGTGTGTGTGTGTGTGTGATCTAAGCGGACAGGTGACGGGGATCAGGGTCAGAGGAGAGGACGACTGGCTCCAGGGTGACGAGACGCAAACACACACATGGGGCTGTGGCACAAACACCAGCGAACAGACACCCACTCGGTGTGGGATCACAGACATGCACTCAGCGGCATAAATCACACACCTCTCTGAGGTTTGACACCAATGAGAGAGACGGGCAAGTGAAATTCACACTGTTGGTGCGGAGTGAGGAGGTTTCGCACAAATCATCTCGTCCTCTTTATTCACCTAATTATCTCTCTCAGGCTCGAACAAATTAGAGGCTCGCCCTACGTCCCAAATTACCCACAAACCACTTTTTTTTATCAACATCTTCCTCCCCACGTTACCGTATCTTCAGCCATGGGAAACTTGGATAACCATGATTACTTCATTGTGCGTTTATTGCTCCAGATGGTATGATCTAATGTCTGCGTCCCATCCACAAACCCCCCCCCCCACATCCTCATGCTGACAGTGCAGACATGTACAAAGTGTAATAGGCCAGATTAAGCTTTTAACACAAGCAGGGGGACTTGGATTAAAAACAAATGACAGTTACATTAAACCGAGAACACAGGAAGGACCTTATGTGGGCTTGCGTGAGGGAGAAGCAAATGATTTTATTTTTGGATCATGTAAGAGGGGGGGGGGGGGGGGGGGGGGAGACCGACAATGCCACATGCGGACACTATTCAAGACAATGAAACTTAATCTGACCATAGAAAGACGATTTATAGCTTTGAATCATTTCCCAAGGCTTCTAGAAACTGAGAAGGCATACTATTTTGTTTATTAGATTTTTGATACTCGGACGAGCCATTAATCAGGAAAATGCCTGGGCTTACAAGGCCGATTCACTTAAATAAAAATAATAGTTTATTTTTGTTTTAATGCAAATATGCAAAATTCCATTCCCTGTGACAAACCCAAGACGCTACTATCTGATGAAAAAATGCTGTTAAATGCATTAAAACTCTATTGTTTGTCTTGGCAACGTTTTTTTTAAAAATTACTTGTAGAAAATGATTTAGTTGAAGTGCACTGCTGGAAGATTAGTAAACAGTGCCACTACCTCAACTACAGTGGTAAATACTTTTCATCCATCGCAGCCATTTTTTTATATGTATAAAAACGTTGGTATTTAAATCACACACATAAAAAAGGGAAACATCGATATTATATATTTGTCATCGGTCTAATGCTTGTAAACAGCTGTAGGAAACGGGACGAGTGTACATATGAAAGTCCACAATGTCCTTTTGACTCAATGCATTATATGCACTTAGGTAACCAGGATTCTGCCTAACCCGATTTCCCCCAGCTAGATTTCTGCTTGTGAAAGTTGATTCCTTGGCCATATAAAGCTCACCAGGTTTGCATTGACTTTTTACCTGTACATGTATGCATGACAAACATTGACACAGCCACAGGCTGAAAGAAAGAGCAGAGCTTGTGGATAAAAGTAAAAGTCCTTACATTAAGCGATGAATACTCATTTCAGTGTTGACACAAAGTCGTCTTTAGAAGTCTGATTCCAGTGCTGGACAAAGGATTGGTATCATTTGTAAACATTCATGCCGAAAAGTTACAACTGCATGTCAAACACTTCGTCGGGTTTCCTGCATAACTGGTTTCTTGTTTGCTGTCTGACAGGAAAAGCCGTCAATGGCAATGCAGACTAAGACAACATTAATGTATGCCTTTCAAATCTAAAGCACTCTGTGATTTCAAGTGTTGATATTGGCCAGGAAATATCAGCTTGAAGCCCTAAGAGACAAAACTTGAGTATAAATTGCTTTGAATCAACCTAAAAAAAATATAAGGACTTCTCTAGCCACCTAGGCTATCACTAACAACAACTCTTTCCAACATTTTGAATTTCATTTCATTTTTATTTGTCCCGCTCATGGTACGCAAAACCAAATGTACAATAATTGCCACAAAACATGACTACCATTTATGGAAAAGGAGCAGGGAGAAGAATAAAATCTTATGTGACCTGCCCCTTTCTAAAAAAAACAAATAAATACAAATAGATGGTCTGCCCTTCATAATAATACTTTTTTTTTTTCACAGCGAAAACATAACATTGTGTGTGTGTAATTGAATTAGTGCATCAAGGTTCCTCAACAAATGAAAGAGACACTTTCCATAAAAGACTATCATTCTGAAAACTAAACAGCTCACACTTTGAAAGTAGATTTAAGTAGCATAACTAAAAGAACAAGAGAGGTACAGCTTTATGACTGCACTCGTCACTAGTGAGGTTATTATAAGACAAGGGAACTTTGGAATATGCTCTACGAGTTATCTCCCCTTAAGAAAAAGTGAAACTTAACCAGCTTCCAAAGGCTGTGTAACATGTACAACTATGGTGTAACTGTACTACAACTGATAGAAAGGTCATTACACGGAGACAAACTTCGAGCCTCTGGTTATCTAGTGCTTAAATGGATCATCCATCCACTTGGTGGCAGGATAAACTTTTAATGGTTCAAATTAATTAAATTCGAGTTCAAACATGTTTCCTCCGAGTTCTTTGCCTCGTCCACAGTCTGTAACTCTTTACTCTTCCTCCTCTCCTCTTTCATGTCCGACTATTTTTGTCTTCTGATTCTTCCTTCATTTTTGGGCAGCTGCATGCTAGGACACACACGGACACACACACACACACACACACACACTCCAAGAAGCCAGTACTGGTTGTGTTTTAACTCAAGCCTCATTATGATTGACCTTTACTAATCTGTAGTTCTGACAGGAAGCCAGTCAGATACAACCAGACTGACATTTGTATACAGTAGAGTCCAGAAAGTGACCCTAAAGAGTGGCACATGAAGTGTGTCTAGCACGCTATCAAGAGACGGCTTGCGCCAACTCAAACGCAAGATAGGCAAACACAGGCAAAACCACCACCAACAGTATGGAGGCAAAGTAGGGGTGATACAAGTAGATGGGGGCTTAAAAACTTGCACACTTTGGAAAATGAACATGACAAACTAGGCTAAGCTGAATCACCATTGTAGAAAACAACTTGCTCCCTTCAGCCCTGCTTACTGAGATGCCAGATCAAGTTGATGAATTATCAGCTATAATCTGATCAGCCTGCCAGACTGTTCTCCCCATTTTCACATCACATTACTCTGAAGTGACCAGTCATATTTTGCCTCATTGTTTAGGTTGTTGGACTTAAAGTTAGGAAAGCAGAGGCACTGGATTATAGTGGGGAAAAGGGGGAAGATTTTTTTTTTTTTTAAATAAATCTTAAATTGTGTTAATTATGTCAAATTGTTTTTGTATGTGCTTTTGATTTACTAAATATGGGGTATTAGTATACAGACCTATCATTACTCCAATTATACACAATTACAATATGGCAACTTTCCAGACAATGAGCAAAAAACCAACAGGTCTCATTAGTAGCTATTATTTTGATAATTCAATCAATGTTTATTTATATAGCCCAATATCACATTTGTCTCAGTGGTCTTCACAGTGTGTACAGAATATCAGTATGACTATATGACACCCTCTGTCCTTAGACCCTCACATCGTACAAGGAAAAACTTCCGGAGAAAACCCACAGTTTAAAGGGAAAAATGGGAGAAACCTCAGGGAGAGCAACAGAGGAGGGATCCCTCTCCCAGGACGGACAGACGTGCAATAGATGCCGTGTGTAAATTGAAAAGATAATACATTTGCAACATAGGTAATTGATGCACACCTTGTTTTTTCTAAATACCTTAACATGCTGTTAACAAATTAAATGTAATCACACCATTCCCTCTTATTTCAAATAACTACAGATGTACAGCTCTCCCTTCCTTATTGAGCATTACTTCAGTTTACCGATGTAGAATGGCTGAAGTCTGAAATTACCACCTTCGGGGGAAACCATATCCAACTTAATTACATTTAAGAGCAACGAGCTGCAACCCAATTTATGAGGTTATACCAAAGGTCTTCATGCTGGCACACTGCCAGAGCCCATGTTCACCAATTTGATAGATATAGGCAATGTCCCCCCATGATGTGATTACCACAACTAATGGTGTAAA